AATTCTTTGTTCCAATAACCTAAATCTAACCTAAAATAATCGGTTAGGATTGTTTGTATTAAATTGAATTGTCGTTTTTTGAATGTGTTTTGGTCCATTTCTTTTTAAAATGTTTTTCATTATTATCAATAAACAATAGAGCTTTTTAAATATATCATTTTTCGTGACCACCAGTTTTTTGTTTTCATTTTTGATTCACGAATTTTTTTTCTACAAAAGTGATGATGACCATCATTATTATAATTATTCCTTTTTTTCAACGAAAAATAAATGTCCAATGCCATAAATAACGTGAATAGTGATGAATTGAATTATGATAATGATGATAATGGAAAAAACTATATATTGATTGTTTTGACATTGAAGACGTTTGTCGTTTGTTGTTGTTATTATTTTCATTGAATGAATGAATGAATGAAGAAAATTCTTTTTGTTTTCAGTTCTTCTTCACAAAAACGTTAAGCAATACTGTTTTTGGACAATGTTGTTTGTTTGACCAACAAAAAAAAAACGTGCTAATTAATCAATTAATTAAACACACGTGCAACTTTAAGTGTAACACTAAACACGTATATTTCATTTAATGATTTACATTTTTTTCTTTCTTTCTTTCTGGTAACATTAATGATGATGATATTTTCAGCAACAGCAGAAAAAAAACTTGGTTAATTTGATTTTTGTGTGTACAGAATTCATAATGATGATAATGATGATCATCATAATTGATTGTTTGATTTTTATTTAATTTTTCGTTGTTTTGTTTTGTTAAAATCTTTGAAATTTTTCTCATCATCATCATCGACATTATCATTAAAAAGTGACCATCTGCCATTTGATTGTGTATGTATACAGGGGACACTCCTGTATAGTCATTTTTTTGCATTTTGTTATTTTGGAAAAAAATCATTTCCATTAATTTTCTCCTCTCTTCTCTTCTCTGTTCAACGAGGAACAAGGAAAAAAAATAATATTTACAATGTAGATTCATCAATACTGATTGATTATCAATATATTTTGGGTGCCAAAAAGCATGGACATTTTAGTTAGCTTTTGATTTCAATTTTCAACATTTTTTTCTACTAAAAATAAAGATATTTTCGACTAAAAATGCATCATCAACGACCCAATTAAACGAATGATACACACAAGCCGTAGACTTTCCTTTACTTCTTTTTTCTTTTAAAGAAAAAATAAGAAAATTATTAGAAGCAAACTGTTTGATGACGATAAGGATAATTATAATTGATTAAACGAAAGTAACCACACAAAAAATCCAAAAACAAAATCCACCACTTTTACAAATTTTTTTTCAATCGATATTTTTCAATTGATGTCATCAACTGGTTTTCAAGAATTTAGTGAAAAAAAAGTCAACTTTTCTCCTTCATTTTTTTCAGCCAAAAAAGAAAAGAAAAAATCCATATTTTAAGATTAATGTTCGTCATCAAACATAAAAACTTGATGATTCCCAAAAACAACATCATCATTCGACATGATCAATTAATCAATTATTTAATTAAATCTTTCTCTTTCTCTCTCTCTCTCTCTATGGATGATTGTCATTGATGTTTTCGTTTTCGTTGTTGTTGTTGATAAATTTCATTTCCTATCATTTCATTCATTTATATAATAGCTGGGCGTAATAATAAAAACTGTTTCGGGTTTTTGTTGGTGTATGAGAAATGTGAGAGAAATAAAATGACATTAATTCCCATATATCCTGTATATATAGTTGATGATGATGATGATGATGTTTTTTTGACAATCAAACAACAAAATGGTGGAATGATGCTTAAAATATGAATAACAATAATATGTTTGAATGTTTGTTTTCCATTTGTTAAAATAGTCGTTTGTTTGTCGTTTGTTTTTTTTTCTCTATTTTGACCATATAGCCTGGTCATTTCTTGGTGGTTTTTGGTTTTTTTTGGTTACGGTCTGATGATAATCGACTAAATTGAATGGGAATAGGAATGTGAATTATTTGACAATGAGATAAACAATCATCATTATCATTTTGTTATTATGATAATTTTGGACTGGCTTTTGTTTGTTATTTTCAAATTCAAGATTTTATCATTTTTTTTTTCATTCATTCATTCATCAAAGAATCGAAAACAAAGAGTTATATCTTTGACTGTCTATTTTGTTTGTTTGTCTTGTATACATTGTTTGGTTGGTTGGTTGGTTGGTATGTACCGGAAATATTTTCAGAAATCAAATTTTTTTTTCTTTCCCAATTAGAAGTTATAATAATACCATCGAAGTATAATGATTGTCAAAGTATGTACCATTTATGGCCATTATAATATGATGATGTTTTATTTTCTGTTGATAAAAGCAAATAAATGTCAGGTAAATTTCCCAAAATCTATGTATGTGTGTGTGTGGGCGCAATATTTATTCAAGATCTTGGCGTCATCATCGTCAATATTTCCAAAAAGTTTCTTTTCAATTTTATCGTTTTATTTCATTTTATTTTAGACATATACACTTAATCAAAAAACAATGACGGATGACGGATGATAAAAAACACTTGTTGTTGTTGATGATGATGATTCAAATATTTTGATTTGAACTTTTTTTTTCTTGTTCATAAGAATAACAATAATCCTTTTTTAAAAAAACAAACAAACAAACAATGTTTATGGCTGAATTCATTATGCATAATAAAAACAAAAAAAACAAACAAACATTAATTGTGAATATCATTATCATCATCATCATTGTTTGTCATCATCATCGTGGTCGTCATCATCATTTCTCTTTAATTCAATTCTTATTATATTCATCAAACATTGCAGTGGAAAATATCCAGTTTTTTTTTGATGAATGATGACTTGATGATGATGTGTGTGGGTGATAATTTTTTAACCTTATTATCCCCATCATCATCATCATCATCATTGTTTAATATGATAATCCAAGATATCCGATTTTCGATTGTCGTCGTCGTCGTTCCATAAAAAAGAATGTTTTTCTGAATACGTACTATACGAATAGGAAACTCTTTTTTTTGAGGAAACGGAAACATTCGAATCTTTTTTCTCTTTTCTGTTTAGTTTCAGAAACAGAAACGCATGTTTTCAATGTTTTTTTTTTTTGTTTTTGTTTGAAATTTTCATTTTCATTCTTCTGAGATTTTGACAACCGCAATTTGACTTTTTATTTTTNTTTTTTTTGAGGAAACGGAAACATTCGAATCTTTTTTCTCTTTTTTGTTTAGTTTCAGAAACAGAAACGCATGTTTTCAATTTTTTTTTTTTTTTTTGTTTTTGTTTGAAATTTTCATTTTCATTCTTCTGAGATTTTGACAACCGCAATTTGACTTTTTATTTTTCCAAATATATAAAAATTTTTTGTTGTTGTTGTTGTTGTTGATCGATCAAAACCATCTATGGTTTTCATCATCCTCATCATCATCATAAACAATCGATCTTGATGATAATAGGAGTTAAATCCTGTTATTGTTATTGGAATATTATTTATGGGTTATTTATCCTCACATTTTAGCCTCCCTCAACATCATAACCACTAAAGTAAAGTAAATAAATTTTGATAATGATTGGTGGTGGTGGTGGTTCAATAACCATATTGATAATTTTTTTTTGAAAAATCCAAGGGAGAGAGATACTCATTTGATTCCAATTTTGTCTCTTTGTGTGTTTTCTCTATCACTCTCTCGGTGAAACATTTTTCAAACAACATTTTTTTTTGATTTGTTTGTTTGACATTTTGTGAAATGTTGATTTCGACATTTTTCCCCGGTGACAATTTAACCGAAATTTTTTTTTTCTTTAAAAAATGCATCTAAATCACGTGTCTGTTTGTGTGTGTGCGTAAATATAATGATAATAAAATTACCAAACATATCAAAAATTATCCTTTCTTTTGTATCCAAAATGTCACAATATTACACACCTGTTTTATCAATTCATCAAGTTTTTTTTTGTTTTAAACTAATAAAAAATATTTTTTAGTTTTAAAAAAAGCACAAAATGCCGATGATGATGGTGATAAACTTGACATAATTTTTTTTTTTTTGAGGGGAACGAAAAATTGCACAAAAGTTTTCCATTTTTTCTCCGGATCTCTTTAATCTATCCATATTTTTTATTTTGGTATTCCAAATGTAATAATGATGATTTCTGATGAAATAACCAATTCTGTTAAGTTGTTTATCTCTCTCTCTCTCTCTCTCTCTCTCTCTCCTGTTTGATTGATTCCTTTTCAACAAGCACAATTATCATCATTTTTTGGTCTTAATTAATCGATCAATCAATCAATACTGATATCGATTTTGCTGTGTAACTTTCTGTTTTTTTTGTTTAGTTATTACATTTCCAATCACACACAGGTAAACGCAAAATACCTTGAAAGATATTTTTGCCAGCAAAAAAAACAAAATGATAATGCGGTAAAGATGTCACACATGATGATGATAATATCAATGGCTGGTTGTAATTTATTTTCATTTTTACAGTTTACAACTACAATATTCCATTAATTCTATTATCGATCTTTGATCAATGATCAATGATCATCATCGTTATTTTCCTCAATAAAAGAAAAAGACAGAAATAAAATTAATTATTTTTTTCATCGTTCAACCTTTATTATCATCATCATCATCATCTGATTTGATTGATGTCATAGAAACCAGCAAAAAAAACCAAGAGAATAAAAAAAAAATTCATAGATAATCCATTCATTTGACTTTATTTTGGTGATAATAAACTACTGCTACCACCACCACCACTACGACGATCATCACCAAAACTAAAAACATTCAATTAATTTTTCTTGCAAGAAAAAACTTTCATATTTTTTGTTTCTGGCCAACAGCAAAAACAAAAAACTAAAGATTTTTTTTCTGTTTCTGTTGTCTCCATCAACATCAAATTTTTTTTTCCTCATCCAACCAACCAACCAAACCAAAAACCATTTGTCATTTTGGTGATTTTGTTTTTGTTTAAACATTTTTTTCCCGTTTGTTTTTGTTTTTGTTTTTGTTTTTCGGCTGTCAATCAAAACTAATAAGAAATGTTTTTTTTCTCTCTTTTTTTTCATAACAGAATCTTGGGGATTGAACATCAGAATCACCTTTCATAGTTTTTAAAGTTTGTTGTGAGTGTGCCGGTGTGTGTGTGTGTTTTGTTCAAATTTTATTCTGTGATGCCATATTTTTTCAAATTGTGATTTTTCAATATATGCGAATCGTATTTAAATAGCAACAGCAACAAAAAAAAACAACAACCAACCAAAAATGTTTACTAAAATTAAAGGAAAATGGTAAGTTTTAGATTAAATCGATTGATCAATGATTTTTGGCTATGTTTTATGATTTGAAAATTTTATGATTTTTTGTGAAATTATATCGACAATATTTATATATTGATTCAGTGAAAAATTTTCATTAATTTTCCTTTCTTTGTTTTCATGAATTTTTGATTAACTTTTTTTCTTTTCTTTTCTTTTTATTATCGATATTCATCTCAGGTTTGGTCGTTCAAACAAAGGTAGTTTAAAAATCAAAACATCATCATCATCAATAGAACCATCATTTACGATATCGGATAAACAACGATCAAATGGATCATCATCAACATTACCGGCTGTCGGTACGAAAATGGTCAATAATTTGGATTCCGATAAGGAAAATATCGGGGTTAATAATAATGATAAAAGTTTAACACTTCCATCATCAATTCCAATTAATAAATCATCATCGAAAACTGGTTCAATTGATTTATCATCACATTCATCACATTCTCATTCATTATCATCATCAAATAATTCATCATCATATCATACAGCTATTGCTATGAATGATAATGATTTTAATCTAAAAGATATGCTTGATGGTCAAATCAATTTAAAAGTTTTTGTTAAACATTTGAATCAAGAATCAAATTTTAATGTTGAACGTCAAACACCATTATATGATCTTTTAGTTATTGTTGCCAATCGTTTTGGTTTAAATCCAGCGGATTATTTAATTATTGCTTCTGCTGATGATAATCATCATGATACTGATGTTGATGTTCAAAGAACTGAAAAAACATTAACATTAAAATCCAATCCTGTTGGATTGATTGGAACTGATCGTATTACAATTGTGCCAAAATTACGTAAAAATCGTAATAATAATAATAATAATAATAATGGTGGTCTTCCATTTACAAAAACTATTCGTTTTACAATAAATTTACCACAAAATCAATTAATGGTTAAACGTATTGAACCAACAATAAGTTTTAATCAAATTAAACAAATGATTTGTAGTGAAAAATCAATAGATTCATCAAAATATTTATTAATAAAACCTATGAAAAAATCAGAATCATTAACAGTAATTGATTTAAATCAATCACCAAATGATTATAATCTGAATGAAGTAACAATAATATCACAACAACGTTATGAACAACTTGCCAGACAATTTTCAATCAATTCACGTTCATCATTTAGTTGTATTGAAATCGATGATGATGTTAATAGTAGAATTGATTTCAATGATCATTCAAATCGTCTGAATGTTCAACAAAAAAATGATTGGAGTCAATCAACACCAAATATATCAACAATGATGAACAATCGTCATATACAATCATCGGATACATGTTCAATTTCATCATCACGTAGTAGATGTTTTAAGAAAAAACCAGCACCACCACCACCATTATCATCACATTCATTATTATCATCAAATAATCGTCATCATCAATCATCGTTGATAAATAAATCGGCACAAAATCTAACCGTAATTCATGATGATGATGAACAAGAATTTAATGAACAACAATCAGAACATCAAGAAATTGTTAAATCAACACCTACTACACCTTTGGATTCATATTTTGAATCAACCAAATCATCAAAATTAATTCGATCAAATACAGTGGATGAAATTGTTGTTATACGAAATCAACCAAAACCACAACAAATTGAAAATTATCATATTGTTATTAGTGATATACAAAATGAAAAAATACGATTAAATCGACAAAATTCTGGATCGGATTCAAGTGGTTATCATGAACGTTTATCACCAATAACAACAACAACAACAACACCAACAGATTCAAATTCACCACAACCTCCTCCATCTTCGATTTCACCTGTATCAAATAATTCTTTAAATGAAGATAACGATGATAATGATAAACAACTAGTCAACAACGATTCATTAATTCAATCATCATCGTCATCATCATTATCGCATATAAAATCAACATCGACAGAACCTCTTCCAAAACCTGCTTCAAGATCATCATTAAAATCTAATCAATCAAAAAAACGTCGTGCACCTTTACCACCACCACAACCTTCAAAAAGATCCAGTCTAATTATTCCATTAGAATCTAGTTTATTATCATCATCACCATCATCTCAAATGATTAATAATTCAATAGATTTATCTAGTAATAATCGTATAGAATCACCATGTTTAACAGAAACAAGTGAAACAGAATTACCAAATTCACTTTGTTGTTCGGAAGAATCTAATAATCATCATCATCAAGAATTTCCATCAATATCATTATCAGAATCATTATCATCATCAAACAATATTGATTCTATTGATGAAAATGAAATTGATCATTTTAAAGTCAATCCGTTATCAATAGATGGCGAAAGTGATGCCAAAATTCAAAATGAAAAAATTAACCAAGTTAGCCAACAAAAATTTTCCAATACAACTGTGATTATGGCCGATATTCATCATCATCAAGAAGAAGAAGAATCTAGTATGGTTACCAATCCAATTGAAATCAACGATAACGATGAATCGAACAATATGAAAAACGCGAATGATACTAATGATAATCAAAAGGTCAATATGGACAAAAAAGATGCCGTGGTTGTTGTTACTGCTGTAAATGCTGTTGACCTTAATCATAATGATGATGAAGGTAATTATTTAAAATATTTTTCTTTTTCGTTGTTCTTATCAGATTGCTTCAGGGTTATTTGTTTGTTTGTTTGTTGTTAATGTTGATCAATCGTTTTGTATTTTATTGATTGATTGATTGATTGATTCGTTTATAATTAATTTTCAATAATTTTTTTTTCAACAAAAAAAAATCCAAAGTTAACGATATTGTTTTAGCAGAAACAACAAACAACAAATTGGATAATGTTGTTGTTGCTGTTTTGAATGATAATGAACAACAACAACAACAACAAATTGTAATAGAAAAAAAACGATCACGTTGGCTTCAATTATTGAATGAATTCGGCCCAAATGATGTTGATAGTGATGATAATGATGATGATGATAATAATATTATGGACGAAAATAAATGTTCACATTCCATTGATGATGGCCAAAAACAATGTAATGAATGTCGTTATTATATTGATAATTTTAAATTATTACGTTCAAAATTTCAAAATGAAAATTTTCATCATCACCAACAACAACAAATAATCGAATCATCAGGTTTTTGAAAATTTTTTTTTATTATTCAATGTTTGTGTGTGTGTTTGTCCATGTGTTTCTATGGTGTATACAGGGTTAATTATTATTCCTAATATACACCTGTCTTTGATGTCATTTTGTCATTCTTGTTACTTGTTATAATTTGTTGGTTTTTGTCTGTGTGTGTGTTTGTATCAATACATTTATCTTATACTCCTCGTGTTTATATAATAGATAAACGTTATCATCGTCATCGTTTTTTTTCTTCTTCTCAAAATCATTTCGGTCAAAGCAATTTTGTTTTGATTTGATTCATTAGAAAAACAAAAAAAAATTGAAAAATGATTGAAAATAAAAAATTTGAAATTCAGATTTTTTTTTTATAATATCATTACAAAATGCTGTTAGCCACTAAATAATAATAATAATTTTAAGCAAAAGCAAAGCAAAGTTTACTGTTGTAACAAAAGTGATTAAAGGTATTATAAAATTTTTTTCTTCTTCTTTCTGGATATAGTGTGTGGTGATCATAAAAAGAAAAAAATTTACAAAATAAAAAATTGCGTATTTTGGCAATATGCAGCAATGAAAATACTCTTGATAATCTTTTTTTCTTGTTGATTTCAATCCGTTTTTTTTTGATATCAAACTAAAGTTCCATATAGATGATCTATGTGTGTTTGTTTGTGTCTTGTTTCCAAATGTTGTTTTTTCCCTAAACCTGGATTAATTTATCAGATGAAATGAGATGCATTTAGCATTTTGGAACCTCCAACACACTTAGTCAGGGTTTTTCAACCAAATATTTTTCTACGTCCTTTCTACGTTTATTTACTTTTGTGCATCTGTGATTTTTTGATTTTTTGAACAAAAAAAAACAACAACAACAACAATGTGTTTGAATTGGTTACGTATCATTTGGAAATGTTTGAATCGTTTTAAAGGTAAATTATTAATCATCATTGTGTGGATCCTGTTTAGTTGTTTTCAATCAATTTTTTGTTTTCTTCAATTTGATTGCTTGTTTCTTACAATCCTCTCCTCTTCTTAATTTTATCTGTCTTTTTTTTTGACATTTCCGTTGATTAGATGAATCAATCAATCATTGTTGTCAATGATGATGATTCTATGATTTGATTGACAAACAAATTAAATTCTTCAATGTTAATCATCATCATCATCAATGATGATTGGTTGAGTTGGTTAGTTTTCATTCCTAGAATTTCTATTACAATCAATGGTTTGTGTGTAACTAAACGGAACTAAACAATGTTTGTGCAATGTTTTTAATCAGATGTTGTTAAATTGAAAATTTTTAATTATTTGCTCCAGTGTGTGACATACGATGTTATGATAGTTAAATTAGATTAAATTAGATTGACATTAATGATGATCAATAAATGAGAGTAGGTTTTACTTCTTTTCTAATAAGAAACATCAAAGATATTAATCCCGAACAAAGGTTTCCCAAGCAGCAAACATGCAACAACAAAAACAACAACAAGTGTCAAATTAGTTTGGCTTAATGATAATCTTTCAGTGATAATCAATTATAATTATAAAGTTAAACAAGTTTTTATTATTATTAATTTAATTTTTTTTCTTTTTGAATATTCAAAATCAATAATGATGATGAGGGATTGTCCCGACAACATTGTTACCAAAATTTCATCAATGTTTATATAAAAATACATTGTTTTTGTTTTTTGCCTGTTGATTTGTAAATTTTCATTTGGTTTTTTACTTTCTCTGTCTGCCTCTCTTTGGTAATTATCGTATGTCGAGAGAAAATCATTCTCTTGCATTTCAAATCCAATTTGTTTCCTTGTTTTTCTTCAATTCAATTCGAATAACCGAATAAATCACCCGATCAAAACAAAAAAAAAATTCAATCAATTTTGATGATTATCTAAGGTTTTTTTTCGGGAAAAAATCAACAAAAATTTCATCCTTTTTTTTTCTTCAACCAACCAAAAAGAGAAAAAAAAGAGTGTTTTCCTAATCATCATTATCATAATCATCATTGAGCTTTTATCATCCAATCAAACATCCTTGGTTCATCATCATCATCACTATAGTTTGAAAATTTTGTTTTCAAAATTTTCGAATCAGTAAAAAAAAAAAGTAAATTTCGTCAATTACAATTGACGTTTGTTTTGTGTTTTGATGTGTTTTGGTGTGTGTGTGTGTGTGTGATTGCAAATCGATTAGTTTGTTTCATTCATTTGGCTAAATCATCATTGTTGAAATTGTTGAAATTTTTTACTTTGNTTTTCTAATAAGAAACATCAAAGATATTAATCCCGAACAAAGGTTTCCCAAGCAGCAAACATACAACAACAAAAACAACAACAACAAGTGTCAAATTAGTTTGGCTTAATGATAATCTTTCAGTGATAATCAATTATAATTATAAAGTCAAACAAGTTTTTTTTATTATTATTAATTTTTTTTTTTTTGAATATTCAAAATCAATAATGATGATGATGAGGATTGTCCCGACAACATTGTTACCGAAATGTCATCAATGTTTATATAAAAATACATTGTTTTTGTTTTTTTTGCCTGTTGATTTGTAAATTTTTATTTTTGTTTTTTACTTTCTCTGTCTGTCGCTCTCTTGGATAATTATCGAATGTCGAGAGAAAATCATTCTTTTCCATTTCAAATCCAATTTGTTTCCTTGTTTTTTTCTTCAATTCGATAACCGAATAAATCACCCGATCAAAACAAAAATTCAATCAATTTCGATGATTATCTAAGGTTTTTTTTTCGGGAAAAAATCAACAAAAATTTCATCCTTTTTTTCAACCAAAAAGAGAAAAAAGAGTGTTTTCCTAATCATCATTATCATTGAGCTTTTATCATCCAATCAAACATCCTTGGTTCATCATCATCACTATAGTTTGAAAATTTTGTTTTCAAAATTTTCAAATCAGTGAAAAAAAAGAAGTAAATTTCGTCAATTACAATTGACGTTTGTTTTGTGTTTTGATGTGTTTTGGTGTGTGTGTGTGTGTGTGATTGCAAATCGATTAGTTTGTTTCATTCATTTGGCTAAATCATCATCATTGTTGAAATTTTTGAAATTTTTACTTTTTGACAAAATCAAAATGAAATGCTCATCATTGATTGGATCAGCCGGGAAATTGTATGGTCGAAGCCAAAACTGAATGAAATTTCCTCATTTTTTCTGTTTGTTTGTTTGTTTGTTTGATTTTTGATCTTAAACAAAAATATATCCATATGTGTTAATCGTATTTGTCAAGTTATTTGTCGTCTTGTTGTTGACTAAACTGTTTTATTTTTGTTTGTTTGTGTGTTTGTTTTTTTCAAAATTTTCATTATTAATCGTTTTGTCTTTTTATTTTCGGTGTAGGTGAAAAAGAACATTCAGTACAAACTAACGAAGATACAAAAACAACAACAACAACGACGGTAAAAGTGCCTGAAGTAATTGATAATGATGATAATGTTCGAACGGTTTCTAACAACAACAACAACAATGGTAACACTGATGATGATAATGTTGAAATAGTGGATGATAATCAAACGAACAACAGTAGCCATAACGAAGAAATGAAAAACAAAACAATTAATGACGGTGGTAAACCACTTGTTGTTGTTCTGGATTGGCAACAACGATCATCATCATCATTATCATCAACATCAAGTAATAATGTTGCTACAAATAAATCCACATCTGTAATTAAAATAGATGCAGATAAAAACGAAACCAACAACATTGATCGAAATAGAATAACGGAAAATATTGATAAACAAGTTGAAGTTGCTTTAAATGAATTAGAAGATACGCTAGAACAATGTTCATTATTTAATAATAATAATGATTATGATGATGATGATGATGGTAATCATGATGAAAAACTGTCATCATCATCATCATCATCATTAAATGGTACAAAAATTAAACTAAATGGCCAAATCAAAACGACGACGACGACATCTAAGACCTCATCATCAATGGGTAATAATCGTACAACAAAAGTAGTGATTAATTCAATGTACGATAATAATAATAATCATAATCATAATGATGGTATTAATCGATTATCATCAAATTCATTTTCTGTACGTGATGGTATACGTAAATTTAATACAATAAATGAAACAAATGTTTCACAACAAGATCTATCTAGTCTACGTTCAACAACAGTGCAATTGAATCCATTTGTTCGACGATCAACATCAAAAATTTATAATGATGATAATAATGGTGGTGAAAAAATGCCAAAAGTAAATAGAAAATTGGATAATTTTCAAATCGGTTCGCTTAGTGAATCACCAATCGATATTTATCAAATGAAAAAACCATCATCGATGATGACCAATGTTGTTCGCAATAATGATAATGATAATACGAAAACATCGACTGTAATTCAAATCAACAATTCAAATAATGATAATAATAATAAAACAACAACAGCTACTATTCATTATAATGGTAATGTTAATAAATTATCATCAGTTGTTGTTGTTAATAATGATAATAATCATCGTGACAAATATTTGATGAAACAAAAATCAGAATCAATGATCAACAATAACAACAACAACAACAATCATGAAATACAACATCGATCGAATAACAATCGACCAATGTTGATAACCACCAACAACAATGTTTACAACAAAAATAATACCATCAATGTTAATAATAATAATAATAATAGTAAAATTAGGTTGTCAAAACAACATTCAAATGGTTCTATTAAACAATTATCCTCACCATCATCTTCATCATCACCATCACCAACTGATTTTTTACAAGAACTTAAACTAAAAAGTAAAACATGGAGTCATCGTAATAATGGATTGGAATTTTCAAATCCCGCATACGATCAAGTTGATACGAATCAAAATTCTGAATTACGACAAAGAAATTTCCTACAACAAAAAAGTGTTGATAATGTTTCAATTTCGATTCCGCCTCCGCCGCCACCACCACCACCTTCACAACCATTAGTACCATTGACACAATCGGTTAATCGTATGATTACATCACAAACATTGCTTGCGCCAAAAGGATGGAATCAAAATCGTCCAACATCAAAATCAAACAATCAAATTCATTCACCATTACGTAGTGTTTCTATGGATTTATCCAAAAATACAACATCATCATCAGGAGATTCTCGTGGTGCACTTTTGAATGAAATCAAAAATTTTCATAATAATTCTCGATTAAAAAAGGTAATTGATTTGTCAAATTCTGTTCTGTTTTTCATAATTAACCTTTTTCAATTTTTCTTTATTTTCAGGTCGCAAACAATCAACCATTCAGTTTGAAAATCAATTGAATTTTTTTTACATATTTTATTCTCTCATTCTCATAATAATCGGACAGATTTATTATATGAAACCAATTTTATTATTGTGATTTTCTTCGTTATTGGATTTTTTTGTTTTTGTTTTCCATTTCTCTCTTTCCATCATTACAAAACATTCATTAAAATCATCACACACACACACACATAAACGGATCATCCGTTATCCTTAACATAATTATTATTGTGTTTGATCTATTGTCATTTTTAATGAATTTCTTTTTCTTCCCTCGGTTTAAATGTTTTTATCCTGAATGTAATAAATAAATAAAAAAAAATTTTCAATTTGAATTTCATTTTTTTTTTGTTGGATACCAGATGGCTGAACAATCTTTTATGATTTATTTTTCTAGATTCTAGAACCAGTGCTGCCATCATTTGAATAAAAATTTCGGCTGGCCATTAGCTTTTTTTTTTGGTTTTTCGTGTTTTTGTTCAATTTCCGTAAAAAAAAACATTATCATTCGGAATTCCTTTCGGAATAAGATGACGATTTTAAGAAAGAAACAAATAAATAATATTTACCGAAGGGAAAAATAATTCAATTTTCAACTACTACACACACATTTATTTCTGAATAAACAACAAAAACAACGTTTTTTTCTAGATTCATTGAAAATGGAATTCATTTCCGTTTAGTTTGGTTGTTTGGTTAACATGCAAAAAAAAAGATAAAAACTATTTAACTGTTTTGGATCACTGTTGTGACGTGTTTCAAAAAAAAAAAATTCAAATCAAGTCTCGTTCAAACTTCTTTGATTCGTTTTGATTGTAAATTTGAAGAAAAGAAAAAAAATTCACCTGAAATATTTTAGGGTATTTTACAGTCGGAAGAATTTTTGCAAGTGAAAAAAAAATGATAATTTGATTTTTTTCTTCAACCAAAAGTCGAAAGAAACACACACACATACCAGCCAAATGACGTAATGCAAAAAAAAATTAGAAAATCAATCAATCAATCAAATCAAAAGATTCATGTACGTCATAAACACAATCTTTTTTTTCTTTTTCCTTATCAATAACCAAAAAAAAAATTGATCGAATTATTTAGCTTCTTAATTTCTTCTTTTCTTAATTTTTTTTTCGGTAAAGTAAAATTTTTATCGATTGACGAAATTACCGAAAAAAAAGAATCGATTACAACAACAACAACAACCGATTGATTGAAAAAAACGCATCAATAATCAATTGATGATGATGATCACTATTGGATGATGATGAATGATTTTGAGAAAATTTTTGCCTTGTTTCATTCAAGGCATCTTCATATTCGTTTTATTGCATTTGGTGTTTTCTTTTTTCTTCACTATCTATCTATCTATCCATCTATCCATCCATGTTATTGTCTACCACTATCATAAAAATTTTTGTTCAATAAAAAAAAATTCCAAGTGTGAGTTTTGCATATAGTTAGTTAACACACACACACACACACACAAAACAATGGAGAAAATTCCATGACATTCAATGTTGTTTGGAGTCGGCGTCAACAAAAAAAATTAGTCGATCCAATCAAACAGAATCTGCTGGAAATTGCCCATATATATAAATTCATCATTCAGTTGTTGTGCAATGGAACCACTTGTATATCTTGATAATTCTTTCAGTGTTTGTTCATTATCATCATCATCCATTCGGGATCTAAATATCTGAATTTGAAAAAAAAATTTCGGGTAAAAAAATGTTTATCAAAAAAAATCAATCAATCAATCAACAATCATCTTTTCAATGTAAAATCATTAATCAAAATAGCATATAGTAAATTGTAAAAGTTAAGTGAAAAAATAAAATAATAAAATTTTAAAGTGAAACAAAAATGGATCCATTTTGGCTCAATAATATGAATATTACTGGTAATAATTCAACATCATCAACAACAACAAATAATAATGGTTCTAGTATACAAATAAACATTGATGATATTAGTACATTGGAAATATTGGATCGATCAACTCGTACAATTTTGGTAATACTTTATTCAGCAACATCAGTTTTGGCATTTGTTGGCAATATTCTTGTTATTATTGTTGAAATATTTGGCCGTCGATCAGCAGCATCATTAAGAAAATTTCTAATCAATTTAGCTATTAGTGATATTCTGTTTGGTGTATTTGCTGTACCATTTACATATACTGATTTTATGTTTGGTCGTTGGATTTTTCTACCATGGCTTTGTCCATGGGCACAATTTATACAAATATTATCAATTTTTATTACATCATTTACATTGACTGTCATCAGTATTGAACGGTTTGTTTTAATTTTGAATTTATTATTATTTTGATTTTTACAATGCAATGAAAAAATCCATTAATAAATGTCATTTGCACAGTGGCCTTACAAACAAGAATTAACCCCCCCCCAACACACACACAAATTGTCCATTATTATTATGATTATCATCATGCGATCATCATCAAATTTTGTTTTTTTCCATATAAATATTGCGAAAAAAAGAAGAAAAGAAAAAACTTTCAACACACAACTAGCAATTCACAATAATCGATTCTTCTTCTTTTTTTCTAGCCATTCTATTGTATTATTTATTAAAATATTAGTAAACAATGTCATTGAATTGAATTGAATTGAATTGAATGACAGAATTATTATCAAAAAGAAAAATTATTATTATTATTTTATCAGCGACGATAATAATAATAATAATAATGATAATATTGAACAGGAAAAAAATATTGCCTCAAGTTTATTATTATTATTATTATTCAGTAAAAAAAATGGATAAATATCCATTGACAAATTTCATATATTCTGCTTCCATAAATAAGCTTATGAAAATATAAAATTTATATTTAAAAAAAAATCACATCCAAAACAATCAATGGCATGCAAGCAAACAAACACTTGATAATAATCTTTTAGTTATGAAGAAAGAATTGAAAAAAACTAAAAATCAAAAACAAGAGAGAGAAAAAAGAATGTAAATTTTAAAGTCTTTCCATTTTCTTCTTTTTTTTTGGAGGGGGGGAAAAATAAGATTCTCATGTAATGAAAAACAACAACAATTTTTCTGTTGTTGTTTTTTTTTCCATAATCCAATACCATCCCGACAAAATATGTGTGTGGATGTTTGGATGGATGGTGTATTCAATACGCTGTATTGGATACACTTGCATGCAGGGTAATAATAATTTGATTTAGGCAACCACATCAATAAAGAAAGAAAGAAAATTCCACTATCAATAATGATGATGATGATGGTAAACAATATTTTTTTTTTCGTTGAAAATAAATAATAAGAAAGTGAAAAATTCAATAGAAAAATTCAATATTAGCAAACAATTTTGCACACACACACACACACACAAGTTAATTCCAAATATCCACACACACACACACACAATCCCATCAACCATCAACGATTCGATAGAAAAAAAAAACATTTTCAATATAAATTTTCACTTTTCCTTTTCCTCTTTATTTGTTTTTTTCTTTCTTTCATCGATACAAACAATATTCTGTTGATTTTGTAGATATTGTTAAATAGAAAAGAATCAAAAAGAATCGAAAAGAATCGAAAAGAACCGAAAGACTCAGCAGAAATAACGAAGAAAAAATACATTTTCATTTTCACTTGAAACCTTATGTATGATGATGATAAGTCTCAAACAGTTTTTTGATGAAAGCAAAAAAAAAATTCATTTTTTTGTTTGTTTGTTTGTGTGTTTTTTCAAATGAAATTGGATCATACAAATGGATGAAGATCACATGTTGTTGTTGTTTTGTTGTTGTTTTTCTCGCCAAATGTGGATTGTAAATCCATTAAGATTTTTGTACTTTTTTTCTCTCCCCCCAGAAACTTGTATTATTTTGTTTTTTGATGTATCAAAACAAAAAATATGATTATTAGGAAAAACAATGTTTTTTTGTTTTGTTTGTTTGTTTGTGAATATTATATGACATTTAAATGAGTGAAAAGAATCGGTGTAATCGCCAAACAAACAAACAGAATTAAAACCCCAGAAAAACAAAAAACATTGAGGGAAAACAAAAGAAAATGAAATATTAATTCATTGAAAAATTACATCGTTGGTTTGTTTTGTTTTGGTTTGCTTGGATTTTGGAAATTTCCAAATAAATTTGTTTCAAACTTGGATTATCAAGTGAAACAAATGAAACACGCAAAACACGCAGAATTTTTATTCCGAATTAACATTTATTAACCGTAATGGGAACAAAACAAAACAAAAATACAAAATCTATTCTATTTGGCGTTTCAAAACTATAGGCAACTTTTGTTATCAACAACTAATAAACGTAATAATTAATTTCTTGAAAAACAACAACAAAAATAAAAACAGGAATTCATTTTCCAAATGAAAAACATAAATTTTCTCGTTTTGTTTTTCTGGTTTTTTAGGCAAACCATACACATTATTTTAATTAACATATGTATGAAGCGGCTAGAGAGGGAGAGAGAGAAAAATCTGGGATTCCATTTTCCTCTTGGATTTCATAAATCAAATCCCCAATCTTTTTTTTCTCTGTGAAAATTAATGATTTTTTTTACTATTTCTGTTTTGCTGGTTGTGTTGATTCAGTAAATGTTTTTCATTTTAATACAATTTCTAGATTGAAATCGAATTGGATTATTATTGTGTTTCAGTATGATCTAATAAAAATCCAATCAATCGATCGATCGATCAATCAATAAGAATCAATTATAATGATGATGATAATTTTTTATTTAAAAAATGAATCATTTTTATCACTTTAGAAATTGATAAATAAATATAAAAAAAAGTTAAAGTGTCTTTAAATTGATCAGAACAAAAAAAAAACAAAAATATTCCAGATAATGGGAATTGAGAATCTCAAGAGAGGGAGAGAGAGAGAGAAGATTTTTTTATCAATTACTTTTCACTTGTTAATCGATTTATAAATAGCAAGGAATAAATTTCACTTTTTCACTTTATTTATTTTATTTTTATTTTCGTTTTTCTGGCTTCCAAACACAAAAATAATGACCACTTGATAGAATTATTGATGTGAAACAATTATTGTCGATTTTGGTGTGTGTGACAGAATTGAACATTTAAACAAACAAACAAACAAATCGAGAATGAGATAGATAAACAGCAAATTGACAAAGAATCATTGAAAAACAAGACTTTTTCTTCATTACTTTCTCTCTCTCTCTCTCTCTCTCACTCTTTCACTCGGTTTATATTAAATTACTTAAGTCCTGGTCTCATTATTTAACGAAGAAGAAGAAGAAAGACAAAATGAAAGTAAAAGAGAGAAAAAAAAAATAATAATCATCATGTCAACCATAAAAAAAAATTTGCTACAATATTAATTCTAAAATCATAAATATTCCAACTGGAAACTAAATATCTAATTTTTTTCCCGTTTCTTACATTGAAATAATGAAAGAAACATGATCAACAACAACAACAGCAGAAAAACAGCTTGTTTTTATTCTGTTTTTCTTGCTAAAAGAATTCAGTTTTGCAATTTTTTTTCTTTGTTTCACTTATCTACGAAATAATATCACCAAACATACACACACACAGAATATTCTTTAGTTTTTTTTGGCTGGACACAAATATTGACAATCAGAAATCAACAAATGAAATTTAATGAAATGAAAAAAAATCCCTATAGAGAGAATTCTGTAATCTTTTTTTTCTGGTAAAAATAATCGCTTTTTTCTGTGTGTTCGAACTACAAAATTGTTGATTATCGTTGTTGTTGTTGTTGTTGTTGTTGTGCAATGTTGTTGTTGTTGGTTTTTTTTAATTAAAAACAACAACAACAACAACAACAACAAGGACAATATTTTATATTTTAGTTCATTGTTCTTTTTGACAACAACAACAACAACAACAAGTTTGTTGAATATTGGAAACACACAAAATGTAATGAATTTTTCTTCTACTTTCTTTTTTTTACATTTTTCGTTTTATTGATCAAACATGTTTGGGTGTTTTTGGTTTGTTTTTGGGTTGATTTGAACCGATCATAATTTGTTTTTTGTTTTGTTGTTTTTTTCGTTGTTGTTTAGATATTATGCTGTAAAATTTCCATTATCAAATCAGAATAAATGGTTAATGGCAAAAAGTCAATATATATTGATTATTGGTTGGCTATTAGGTATTATATGGGCATCAATACCGAATACAAAAATTGAACAATTTGTTTGGGATAATCAAACATATCAAGATTGTCGACCTGATCATGAATTATATGAAAGTCGATGGTAAGTGAAATTTGTTTGGAAACAGTGTATTTTGTTTTACATTTTCAACTTTTTTTTTAATAGGTATAACATAAGTTCAGTAATGTTAACATTCGGTTTTCCATTAATAATACAATCAATTTGTTATGCATCAATAATTAGATGTTTATTAAGTAAAGATAATTTACAATCATCACAATCATTTGCTAAACAAAATCGTGATATGACAAGGGTATGTATAGTTTTAATTTTTATTTTTATTTTTTGCTAAAGAATAATGCTAAAACGAATTCATTTCAAAACAAACAAACAAACAAAAAAACAGATAATCCGTATGTTAGTTGCAGTGGTTATATTATTTCTTATTTGTTGGTCACCAATAAAAATCTTAATGACAGTTATAACGTATAGTCCTGAATGGTTATTTATACATGATCCATCAAGTAATAATTTTTATATTGCAAGCTATTTTGTTTGTCATTGGATGGCAATGGCAAATAGTTTTGTCAATCCAATTATCTATTCATTTATGTCGAAAAGTTTTCGTGTAAGTTTCACTATAAATAAATAAATTCTATTTTCTTAAATTCTATATTTTTCATTCATTCTAATAAAATTAATTCTTCTTCTCCACTTATCTTCTTCTTCTCTCTTTGCCAGATTGATTTACGTGATTTAGCAAGAAAAATCTGTGCACAAAATAATGATAATAAAATGGTTTATAGTAATAATACAAATACAAGTAGACATCAAAGCTATTATAATCATAGCCGTATTTATCGTTCATCATATCGTCAACAGAACAATCAAAATAATCAACAACAACAACAACAACAACCGAATCCAGCAAAATTATCATCATTTTCGAATGGTACTGTTGTTGTTATTGGTGGAGATAATACAAATAGCAGCAGTAGTAAGGATAATGTTCCATCGATAAGCCAAACATCATCAAACAATAGTGATGATAATGTTGATAGTAGTAGTGGTGGTGGTGGTGGTGGTGGTCATTTGGCAATATGTACCATATCAGTTATACGATTATAATGAGAAACATTCATTTCATAAACATTCCCATTCAAAAATATCGATTGAAAACAAATTCCGGATAAAGATAACATTGAAAAACAAAAAACCAAAAAACGAAAAAACCAAAATTTCAATGAAGAGATAGTGTACATATATCCAATGTGATTATTATTTTTTTGTATATTCCTTTTACAATCCAAAATGGATCGGAAGTAAGTAATGCCTAAAATTGGCAATTTTTCTTGATCATCATCATCATCATTATCATCATCATCATAATAATGATGTATATAAAAGTTGTTGCGTAATTTGATGATGAAGAAGCAGAAGAAGCTTGAATGACACACACACACACTCATACAGAATGCATGTAATACAATATCTTTGTCATTGTTTTCCCAAATGAACCAAAAAAAAAAATATTATACATTCTACGTTATTATTAAATGATTAATGATAATGATAATAATCATTGGGCTTGCTTTATCATCATTATCATCATCATAAACAACAAAAACAATGAAAAACGACAAACGTGATTGACATCCAAGGCAACAACAACAAAGGTATGAACCAAAAAAATATTCATTAAAAAAACACCCGATACAAATTCCAGTGTAACTTTTCCTATGGATATATTTCATTGATTCTTTTTTTTCGCTCTAAAATATTCATTGCTGCCCAGTTCAAATCACCAGAAAAAAAAACTACAGGATCTCATCACACAAACAAACAGACAGACCAAAATGTCAAATTGATTGTAATACAACATTTAAAAAAAAAACCTTGACTGTATTCAAAATTCTGTAAATATTATGAATTATGAAATGAATAAAATGAAATGAAAATTTCAATCATCATTCTTATCATGACAATGATGATGATGAATATAGTGAAAAAACTGACAGAAAATGGAAAATAGAAAGTGAAAATAGAAAATACTGGAGATATTTATACAATAAAATATAACTTTATCAGCGGCAAAAATCGATATTTCTTTCTTCATTTCATAATCGATAATTTAATGGAAAATTTGTTGTTGTTGGTTGCTGCGGTTGTTGTTGTTGTTGTCGTTTAATTTTCTGTCGTTGATGTTTACGTTCATTTTCATATTTCGTATCATATAAATATGGTGTACGGATATCGATTCGTGATAATTCACGATCAGTTTTACCAAATCTACGTTGAAATGCAAACAGAATAAATGTCCAAACAAAACAAACACAACCAACAACAAGATAAATGATCGATAAAAATAGATATGGACCACCAATATATTTATTTGTATTGGCTAGCCAGAATATTTTACGACCACCAAATTCTTTGACAGGATAATCTAATTTTTTTGGAGAAAAAAAATCAATTGAATCAATTTTCAATAACAAAAGAAAATTCAATTTTTTCAATATTTTTCTTACTGTAATCAATTTTTAGATAATAAGTACCACTTGGTAAAGATTTCGAAAATGTTGAACGTGGATGATGAACAATACGAGCATAAAGTTTACGAAAATCTGGAAATGCAGCAGCACGCATCCATACGATTAATGCTTCATTTTGTAGACCATTATTATCCGGATTCATTGGATCCAAATCAAATATTGTTTTATTACCCCAATTTGGTGGATTAGTAAAATTTCGAAATATTTCATAATCAATTGAATTGGTAATCGAACGATCAATTGGCCAGGCAATATTCTGTCGACTTAATGGTACAGTACGTATCGTATGATTCATATAATCCATTAGCCATAAGGAAAAAGTATCATTAAAAAGACTATTTGCACGTGTACCACATGGTACAATTGGACGATTTTCCCATTGTTCTCGTCGTTGTTGTTGTTGTTGTTGATTATGATGATGTTGATAACTTTGATTATTTCCATTATTAATTTTAACCATTTTAAAACGAAATGGTTCACAATCCGTATGTACAGTTGGATAACCATGAAATTGTGAAAAATCTTTCGACCGAATATAATGCAGATGATTTTGATAATAATTTTTTAAACCATAATAAACATAAACATTTGAATGAAATGATTCAGGTAGATTGAATTTATACCAACAAATACATTCAGGTGGTGGTTGTTGATCATGACTTCTTCCATTATGCCAATCGGTTAATATTTTCGAACAAGAACGACTACCCGTTAATGGTATACAATCAGTATAATCAATACGAAATATTTGATCACCATAATATGATATACACATAAAACCAATACCAATGGTTAATAATGATATTGATGTAATCAGAAATGTAGCAAAAATTGAATAAAATTTTATTAATGGACGATATGCAGGTAATTGTTGTTGTTTATAATTTTTTATTGAAAAATAATTAAAAAAATCTAACCATATTTGTTTCATTCGATTATTATTCTGTTTATTCAGAATAATTTCATTTGTAGGTAACATTACTTCGTTTTGTTTTCAACGTTTGTCAAGAAAACAATAAAATACCAATAATAACAACAGCAAAAACAACATGATTCTTATCTGATTTTGAAATGAAATGATGATGATTTTCATCAGAAACAAAAAACCAATTTACCATTCATTTCGCAGAATAATAAAATGACAATGCAAATTTGATGAACAGGAGAAGAAAATCATCGGTCAATGACGATGATGATGATGAGAATTTCATATCGTAAAATTAATATGTCAATGAAACCTTCATTTTTTTCAAAACAAAACAATAATGTAGTTCATTGACATTTTTTTCCACCACTGTTTTCACTGATTCTGATTACAAATCATCAAGGACCTGATCATAATGGTAAATTCATTAATCTCTCTGTCTGTGTATTATATTGGTTCAAAATTCTGTTTATCATTTCAATCATTATACATCTCAATTAACGGAAAACTAAACTAACTGAAAAGTTTTTTGTTTTGTTTTTGCACAAAAAAGAAAATTTGTCAAATCAAGAAAAGATAAATTCTGCAAATATAAGCAAAAGTAAGTAAGTAAAAGTTTCTCTCATCAAAATGATTGACTAATGAACGGGTTTTTTCAACTAATTTTCTTGTTTAACAATCATAAAACTTTTGAAATTTTTTTTAAGAAATTCGTTTTTTTTTCTTCGTTACGATGGAGAAAAAAAGACATTCATTCATTTTCGAGAGAAAAAGATAACCAAAACACTTGATAATGATAATCTGATTGGAAAATAGATAAAAATTCTGAAGAAAAAAAGAAAAATTGTACACGAAAGCACATGAAAACATGCACGAATTTTCATTCGAAGAAAAAAAATCAGAATAATCTGAATTTTCGGTGAAAAAACAAAAACAAAAACAGAAAAATAAAGGAAAGCCGCTTATCAGATCATAAGATATATCTTTTTACCCAAAAAAAAAGAAAATTGATCAGGCAAAATTTCTGTTGTGACCGATTGATGATTGGTTGGATTGCCTAATATTATATTTGCTTCAAAAATTCCTTGATTTGTGTGTGAAGAATCCATATTTAGTCCGAAATAATAACCATATATCAACAAATACCTGTCTAAATTTTTTGTTTTCTTGTTGAAAGATATTATCACAATTATCGATTTGGTTCAAATTGAATACCTACCTACCTACCTAACTATATTTTTATTTCCAAAAACTAAAAATAATCAACAAAAAAACGAAATTCGAAAGAATTTTCTTATCTAAATGGTCAATCTTTGAATTGAAGATAGGTTGACAAAAATAAACACACAAAGATAGCAAGAAAGTAAGTATGTTTTTTTTCCTGCTAATCATCATCATCATCAATATTGGTGGGCCAATAATAATTGATAATGACATTATTTGTTTGTTTGTTTGTCGTTGTTTAGTTTAGTTTACATTTTATTTTGGTTACATTTTTGGTGGTCCAAATTAGTTTGGTTTAGTTTAGTTTTTTCGTTCACTGGAAAATGATGATGAAAAATGTCAATAATGATTGGAATGTAAATTTGTTGTTTTTTTTTCTTCAAGAAAATTTCTTTTTTACCGATAATCAATCAATCACGGCAAAAAAAGAAATGGAAAAAAATGTTTGAAATTTGTTTTTTTTTTCCAATGAAACAAAAACCTTCCGTTCGTTCCGAAATAAAATGTTTCAAGGGAAAAAACGCACACACACACACACGCTTATTTCCGATCCTAATTAGAAAAAAGTAAAGAAAAATTCAAATTCAAATTTTTATAAAAATCAAAATACCTGAATAAATCGAAGAAAAATCAAATCGAAAAAAAACCTGATGATAAAAAAATCAATTCGAATCATTTTCGGTGTTAAAACATTCGAAATCTGTTTTGTCACACACACAAGACGACTGTCGTCAAAATAGTCGTCGTCGTCGGTTTTGTTATCATCTTTAAACCGAAAACCAAAAACCAAAAAAAAACCTGAAAACCAGAAAAAACCGACCGCAATACAATTAATTGCCAGACACCAATTGTTGTTTGATGATAATGATGATGGTGGTGGTGACTTGTTACACAAAAAATCATTCTTTTTTTTCGGTAATAAATTACTTAATGTTTGTCATTTTTCAATCATTTAAAAAAAGAAACATTCGATTATTCAATTATGATGATGATGATGATGATGATGATAATGATAATGTAAATGGCTAGTATAGCAGAAGAACAACTATAATGTAAGTATTGTGAAAATTACACACACACACACCAACATAGGATTAACATTTTTTTCTCTCTCTCTCTCTCTCTCTCGCTTCTAATTAAGGTAATTAAGCTATGATGATGATGATGATGACCATATACAGGTACCGAACCGGCTGGTTAGCTGACCGGTGACCGCCTGGCCATGACACAAGACGACGACGGCGACAATGGCAATGACAATGACTAGTAGCCAATTGATTATTACCTTTTGTTTTCATGGAATTAGATAATCCACTTGGTGCCAAACAATTTGCCGAATTTTTTTTTTGGTTTGGTTATTTCGGGTAGTTTTGTCTTTTTTCTTCTGGAGAATCAACAAATCCGAGACATTCTAAGAAAAATAATTCCAGACAACAATTGATTGAAATTAATTGATTCGATCATCATCATCAAATCATAGAAATGATGATTGGCAAAGTTTTCCCGAAAACAAAAAATTACATTGTAATCAAATTTTCTTTTTTTGAAATAAAAGTAATTTTTATTTTTATTTTATTTTTTACATAACATTGTCCTTTTCACATCACAACTTAATTACAACAAAAACAACAACAGCAACAACAAACAAACAAAAAAAAAGTCTACAAATTTACAAAGAAAAAATGAAAAATTGAAATTTACATAAATTGAAAGCTTATATAATAGATAATTAATCGAATAAAACGTTCAATACGTATGAATATTCGATCATCGATATTGATTTCAATTTTTAATGAATATGAATGTATTTTTCGTTGATCATCGATATCGTTATTTGATGATAATTGTTTACCACATTTGTTTCCCGATTCATTAATTTCCGTTGCTGTTGTTGTTGTTATTGATTCAGACTCAGGTATAGTCGTTGTTGTCATTATAGTCGTACCATCACCAACATTATCGTTCGATTCATGACATTCGATTTGTTTACCACGTATAATGCAAATTTTACCATAATTTTTTGCCAAAGTTGATGGTGTTATCGTCGATGATTGTTGTTGTTGTTGTTGATAATTTGATTTAGATTTTTTTCGTTTGTTTACCATCATCATTCGATCATTGTTTTTATTATTATCATCGATTGTAATGATATCATTTTTACTTATGGTTTCATCATGATGGCTTCGTTTGGTTGGATTTGATGATGATGATGATAATTTTATTTCCTTTGGATGATTATTATTCGTTGAAAATGTTTTCATTTCTTCTTCTTCTTCTTCTCCAAAATCATCATCATCATCATCATAATCTTCATAATCTTTTGATGAAAAATATGGTTTTTCAAGAATTTTTGTCACTAATTTGGATTTTTGTTCATCATGATGATGATCTGGTTCTGGATTTACCATACTGTTATCATCATCGCCATTATCATCTTCATCGTTATTTTCATCATCATCATCCTCTTCTTCTTCATATTCTTCATCAAATTCAACATGATGATCATTTTTAGATTTCATTTCAGCTGTTGTTGGTAATGGTTTTAGTTGAGAAGATTCGATTGCTTCCATATTATTATGTTCATTAATTATTGATGGCGATGAACGTTTAGCTTGCATCATCGAACGTACATTACGTTGAATTTCCAGAAACATTTCATAACATTCAGGTACATTATGAATATCATCACATTTTTTTGCAATTTGATTCCAATATTTATTTTCAGGACAAAAATTTCTTCGCCATTTACCATTTTCACAACTAATATAAAGTTTACAATCACGTTTAAAATATTGTCCCGATTGACATGTTGATAATATTTGTACGGATGCAACAGTTGGCATTATTATCGTTGATGATGTTGATAATGTCGATGTCGATGTTGTTGTTGGCGATGATAAATTGATTTCGGAAATAGGTGCACCATTTATTGGATGACATTGATAGATCATCATTATGATCATCAAGACCGGAAACCAGGTAAAGATAAACATTTTCAACAACAACAATGCAATGTAAACACGAAAAAATTGAAAAAAGAAATCACTAAAGAAAGAAAAATCAAAGATCAAAGTTTTGTCGAAAAGGTTTGTTGTTGTTTTTTGAAATGAAACACAACAGCAATAATGATGATGATGATGACCAAAAAAAAAAAAAAATAATAATGCGTAAGTACGTTGAACTTCTATTTTCAAATAAGAAATACACGAGTCGATTCAAAAAATTTCTATGTTGTTTTTTTTTGGGTTTTGTTTCTGTTTGGTTGTTTTTTTCATCAATGATCAATCAACAGTTTGAACTATAGTTTGTGTTATGAATCGAAGAAAAAAAAGAACGTAAAAGAAGAAGACCTTAGACCTCTTTATACCAATTTTCAGCAAGAAAAAACAAAACAAAAAATACACTCCGCCTTTGTTGTTTGTTTGTTTGGCTAGGGTTATGTCAGAAAAAATATATTTGGTCAAGTCGCAAATACACACACACAGGCCATAGCCCATATTAACAACACAAACAAACAAACGACGATGATTATGATAAACATTGATGATAGGGTTACCTTGCATGCTGACCTTGCTATCCACACACACACATACCTGTTTTTTATCTTTTGGTTTTGTTTTCTCTCTGTGTTTTCTTTGTTTCTTCTTTACTCCGATAATGATAATGTCATAAAAAAAATCCTTCCATTTTTTTAAAACCGAATCCATTACCCTTACAACACGTACAGAGTAATGCAAACAAAAAACAAAAACAAAAATATGGAATGGAATGTGGAATGTGTGGAAAACAAAGAAAAAAATCTGGTCAAAGTAACAAAACAAAACAAAAACAAAAAAAATTCTTACTTTGTATCGCACCGAATCATCGATCTATTCGATTGATACACACAATAAGCATCTTTAGCTTTGGTTCAAAACCGATTTTTAAACAAAACAAAAAAAAAAACATTGAAATTCCTTTCGTTTGTTACATTGTCTTTTTTCTTTTTTGGGTTTTGTTCGAATCAAATTGCCTTAAGCCGACATACAGATAACAAACAAATAGAAAGAAACAAGAATGGAATTTCCATTTTGCCGCCACAAAAAGAAAAATGTTTCATTTGTCTTTTGTTTGTTTGTTTGTTTAACAATTAAATTTAAAAAAAAAAACAAGAAATGAAAGTAAATAAATTACAATTAAAATTGATTCGATTCGATTCGATAATCAAAATTAGTGAATCAAAATGTAAAATGAAAACAAACGGAAACGATTGGCTAGGTCAAATTATTTTCAACAAAACAAAAAACGACGATGATTTCCTGATTCCTGAATTTGAAAAAAACAACAACAACCTTGATCATCATTTTTCCCAAATAATGTTCAGCAAATATTTTGATAACGATGAAATGCGAAAAGAGAAATAAATTCCGTTTTAAATACCGAAAAAACGACGATCGGAATGATGCCAATCATATATAAATACGTTGATTTGAAAATTTAGAAATCATATCATTTCAGATCATTTCTGATCGAAAAACTATTTTGAAATCAAAAAAAATGAAACCAACAATTTTCCATTCGTTAATCATTGGTTTGGCCATCATCTTTTTAGTCATATCCAACATATCGGCAACACCACATTATTATGCTGGAACTGGTATTGGTGCTGGTTATTGGGCATTACCATATGGTAAAGGATTACGTTATAATTTATGGGGACGTGGTCGTGGTATTCTTCGTCAAATATTGGGTAATTATGGTGGTTTCTATGGCTGAGATAACCAACAAACAACAACAACAACAACCGAAACCAAAGCCAAAACAAACCGACAATCAACTTAATCAAAAAAATTTTTAATTGAAACAAAAACTTTTGCCAAAAAAAAAAATTTAATAATTAATGTAAATGTTTTTATTCCCAGAAAACGAAAAAAAAAACAAACAGATTTATTGATTTTGATTAGAATTTACAGAATGTAATGAAAAAAAAAGAAAAAGAAGAAAATAAAATTGTAAAACGATGACTATATAATTGATGAATGAATGAATGAATGAATGGTGTTATATAATGTAAGAGAGAGAGTGAGAGCAAGAGAAACATTCCAAAAAATAAAATAAATATGCAAAATTCCAATTAAAGAATTAAAGAATTTCATCCTTCGACATTCTATCTCTGTGTCTGTTTGTGTGTTTGCATGTCAGAATATATTAGATTTTTTTTTCGTTGTTGCTGGTTGGTTGGTTGGTTGTAGTTGTGATTCGAAAAGTGGGGAAAACAGAAAAACCAAAACAAATTCCAGCTGTCGATTTGAATTAATTCTTTTTTTTTGTTTTGTTTTGTTCGGTTGTTTTGTACAATTATTTTGTTTAATAATAAACGTTTTGATGATGATGAGGATGAGGATGATGAAGATTCAGTCGAAACATTTTGGATTAAATGCATTTTTTAGGTAATTTTTTCTTTGATGATGAAATTATTGGCAGCAAATGATGATGATGATAGATGTGATACGAATAATTAATAATAGAAAAAAAAGAAAGGATATAGATTCTATTTCCAAAAAAATAAAAATTGAATTTATATCACATTGGTTGTGCGTGAATGAAAAATCTTTTTTCTTCATCTTTTTGGTAGCGCACAACAACGACGATTATATCATGGACAAGATTTGTTTGTTTAGGTTTTCTCGTGAAAAATATAACAACAACAACAACAATATTTAACAAAATAAAAAGCAAAATACAAATTCAAAAAAAACAATATTATTTTTTTCGGTGTTATTTTCCATTGTATGTAGGATTTTTGAATGTTGTTGTTGCTTTTTTGAATATTGGATTCACTCCCTATGGAAAAAAAGTGAAGGAAAATTAGAAATTCAAATGGAAAAAAAACAGCTAGATTAACTTACCGTTTCCCATTTTGCATTTAATCGTTCCTCGTTAAATCGAGCAACTTCACGACGATCTTTAATTGTTGTTAATAATTTCCATATTAATAGAAAAGCAATACCAATCAATACAATACCAACAATAACACCGATAACAATAGCCAATATATTTACCGGTTCAGGACAATCTTTTGGTTCTTGTGCATAAATATAGATTTGATTTTCATGTTCATCAAAATGATATTTAAAATTAAATACACAATCATTTTCATCCCAAACAACACATAATTCTCCTTCTCTTGAATCAATATCAGGCGAAGTGATTGGATTTAATGTACAATTTTGACAATCATCAATAGCTAATGGTCCAGTATGAAATACTTGACATTCAACACAATCTTTATAAACATCGCAACGATTTTTACATGTTGGACATTCATCACAATATTGCCCAGTATATTGTTCCGTTTGATTTGTAAAACAAATACATTGACCACAAACACATTCCCCATGACCGGAACATATTTTATCACTATCCGGTTTGATACATTCATTATTACCAACTGGACAACTACAATCCGGTCCAGTCCATTGTTCTTTACAATTACATGAACCACATTCACATGTACCATGATCAGGTCCAGCACAAACTAAACCATTATAACGATCACAACTAAAATTATCACATTCACAATATTTTCCGGTAACTTTTTCATCAGGTGAATCACGTTTTGAACATTCACATTCTCCACAACTATATATTTAAAGAAAAATGAAAAGATTATTAGATTGATTGAAATGTTATCATCATTTGTTCATTTACATACCGACAAATACCACGTCCAGAACAAACTTTTGTATCATTACCACGAAAACAGCTTGCTTCTTTTGCATCTGGATTTGAATCTTTTGCATCACATTCACATCTTCGTCCATAATGATTAAGATCACAGCTACAAATACCACATTGATAGCTACCTTTAAAACCACATTCCGGACTTTTATCTTGTCGATTTTCTTCTTTTTCACATTCACATTCACAAATAATTTCTAAATCAATATAAAGTGCATCATTTAGACCGACTGGATAAACTTTAATTGTTTGTTTCCAATCATTACGATTTAATGGACAAGAATCAACCATTAATGTTATATCAAAATTAACACTATCACCAACACGAAGTCCTTTACAAACACTTGTAGATTCTTTACGTTGTCCCAGACATTCAGATGCATAACTCATTCGAATATTATTTGTAGCATTATCTTTTAATTCAATTGCTGATGTTATTTTTTGATATTCATCAACAATTAATTGTACAACATTTGATGAATCACCAGCTAACATACCGGCTGATGAACCTTCAATCAATGACAGTGAATGATTATGACCACCAACTAATTGATTATAAATATGAAATTGATCTTTTGTAACTGCAAATATAATATTTACATGATGTTCACGAACTTTACGATTAATTTGGCTAATGAGAAAAAAAATTAAATGAAATGAATTAAAGAAAAAACAATTTTATCATCAAAAAACAAAACAAACCTAATAGAAGGATAATCCTGTGTAATACTTTCAGTATATAAACCTTCACGATCTAAATGACATTCACCATCATTTGGTTTAACAATACCGCCAAGTTTACCATCACCAGCATAATGAAAACCAGCATCGGTTGAAAATACTAATAATTTACGTGATTTATCACGCCAACCAATATCATTATGACAAACAATAGCTTGCATGATTGCATCGAAACCACCTTCCGGTGCATCCAAATTACCCGATATTTGTGTATCATTTACTTTACGTACAAAATCACTTGAATCAGTATCTAAACTCATATGATTTTTAAAACCATATGGTGCTGCACAACCAGGACAAGGTGCAATTAATCTGCAAGAAAATTTTCCAGAAAAAATCAATTAATTAAAACAAAACAAGTAAAAAAATTAATACTTACTTTTCCGGAACTATGCTAACATAAGGCATAACAGTTTTATCGACAAACGATCCAAACCCGAGACGAAAATTATTGGTAAGATTTTTCATTGTTTGTGCAAGAACATGTCCAAGTTCGGCTAATTTTGCTTTATCATCTTCCATTGATTTTGATAAATCCATTAGATAATATAAATCAACTGGATAATCAAGTGCTTGTTTAAATGTAACTGTAAATGTTTTTGGTATTTGTGGCCGTACACGTATCGAAACACGTTGTGGTTTTAATTGTATTGGATCCATATTTTCATCCGTTTTATTGGATAAATCTTCATCTTCTTCCAGATCGAATATTGTTTGTGGTGAATAAAGATGCATTGATGGACAACCCATTTCTTGTAATTTAAACATTGTATTACAACGATCATCAGAAAAATTCCCAGGTAAATTACACCAAGAACATTCTTTTGTACGAATACAATCACCACAAGTTGTTTTTGTTACACAAAGTCTTGAATCACGTAATTGTTCTGAAAATGGTGCATTCAATGCAGACATTGTATCTTTATATTCAAAATATGTTGTTTTCATTTTATCTAATTTTTTTTAATTCGAATTATTAGTCATTTAGTAAATAACAAAAAACAAAGGTAAACAAAAAACTTACATTCAGTCAACGATAATTGTATCATTTGATTGAACACAATGAATATTAAAATTGATTTGATAAAATCATTTATTTTATATCTTTGATCTTGTCGACTTCGATGTCGATGATTTCTATCGCCATCAACATTATGGCAATTTGTGATTTGTTGCATTTCCATTTTTTTGGTTTCCGGGAAGAATTTCACAATCAATGAGTTTCCGAATTTCCGAAAAAATTTCTCCTTAATCGATCATCAATGAAGGAGCAAAAAAACAAAACAAAGTTTTTTTGGTTTGCTTTTCTTTTTGGCAAATTTGAAAAAAAAGAAGATTTATTTAAATTAAAGTATGTCAGGTTTCTTGATGTAGAGAAAAAAAAAGATGATTTTTTTTGGCAGTAAAATCGGCTTCGTTGTGCGAAATATATTCAAAAGTCAGTCAGTCAGTCAAACAGAAGAAGATTCTGTCACCTTCATCATTGGTGATGATGATATTCGAATGTTCTGAATACGGAGAAAACAGAAGAAAGAAAAAAACGGAAAATTTTAAAGTTTTTTTAGCACAAAAAAATCATGTTTTGGATTGCGAAACTCAATAACAACAAAAAAATGGACAGGTGTTACCAGGATCGATAATGAAAAATAAAAAACATTTTAAAAATAGACAAATTTACACAATGTTTTTGGAAACAAGTTTTTTCTTGTTCGGGTTATGTTCGATTTTCTTTTTTCGTTTTTTTTTTGGATGTTCAAAAAAATCTTGATATATCGTATACGAAATTCTTTCAACCAGAAAAAGAAAAATCCAAGCAAGCAAAAAACCAAACGTTATTAAGAAACCAAAACGTTTTCGAGAGCGAGAGAAAGAAAGAGAAAAAGGTCAAAAGTCATTCATTCATTTTTTTTTTCTTGGTTGGTTTGTTGATTCACATATGGTTTGTTTGTATTAAGCAACTTAATTCAATAACAAAAATTCTATGGACTTTTGACTTTTTTTTTTTTTTTGATGGTTACCAATGTTTCTTCTTCTTTTCACTATTCACTAAGATATTTTCAATATGGTTGGTTGGTTGGTTGGTTGATAATTTTTTCTTTTCCAAACCAAAAAAGCAACAGCAAAAGTTTTTAACGAAGGAAAAAAAAGTCTTCTTCATAGCCAAAACTGAAGCGTAAATGTATGCGTGGGTGCTGAGATGATTATTATTATCATATGAAGAAGAATTGGAAGAAGAAAAAATTCATTATGAAAAAAAATAAAGTTTTTCAATGATTATCACACCGCCTTTCTTTACCTTTAACTTAGTTTTTTGAAATTCTTTTTAAGGGAATTGAAATCAACAACAACAACAAAAAACCGGAAACACTATAGTGTGTGCAAATGTCGTTTCATTTTTTTCTCTCATTCTCATATCTATCTTGACTTGTTATTAGATTAGTTAGTTAGTTTACATAGAGAAAAAGACAACTTTCCTTAAATGGAATTTGTTGCTGTTTGTTGTTTCACTTGTTTCAGGGAGAAAAACAGCATCTCGTAGGATTGTAGCTTATTTGTGGTGGTGGTGTGGTGTTGGTGGTAATCATCATTTGTGAAAAATGACCAAATGAATGTTAATGACGATCGATCGATAGACCAAACATGTGTTTTTTCGTTGTTGTTTATTTGACCAAAAAATCAATCAATCCAAAAAAAACAACCGTCAAATTAACACACGTGTTTTTGATTAACAACAGAAATTTGAAATGAGATAACCAAAGTTAGATCAAAAGAAAACAAAAAAATCATTCAATTGAAAAATTAAAATAGCCGGGTCTGTTTTTTGTTAGTTATTATTTTTTTTTTTGCAATTTCGAAAGATTTTTGCCAGGCAAAACAAAAAAAAACTTGCAGACGAATGACGAACAACAAGAGAATTCAACAGATTCGATTCTGTTCATTCTAAAAATAGAAAATGGTGAAATCTTCAAACTAAATAATTTCTTTCTTGTTCAAGTTTCACATCAGAATTACTCACTGCTGAATAATTCTTAGATTTCATTCGGCAAAGAAAAAAAAACAATTTTTATTTTGCTCCCAATTCTTGTATGCCGGAAGAGATTACACTCAAACATTCGAAAACAAAAACAAAAAAACAAAACCAGGACAATTTTTGTGAAAATAGCCCCCAACTCAATTTTTATCTGTTAACATAGTTACCATGTGAATTATCATCAATTTACCAAAATGGAAAACAACAAAACAAAAAAAATCTTTAAAAAGTTAAATGATAAAACTTACATTTGCAGATATGTATCCTCTTTAAATTTCAAATAAAATTACAGAAATTTACAACGACGTAAAAAAAGATGAATGATCCGTCAATAATTAATATCGCCGGAAGAATGTTTACCGGAAAAAAAATTGATTGAATCGAAACAGAAGAATTATTTCCAGAAACAATTTTGTTGAACTTTTTTTTTTGCTGAACTTTATGGAAACGTGTGTGAATGAACTTTGTCAACATCAAACAAAACACATCAACAAACACCAAACTTTGTAACTTTATTCAGTCAAAAAGGCTTCTTTTTTTTGTTGCTTGGTTTTTATGACACAACCCTCAGTCGTCAAAATGCTATATAAAACGATGACAAACACATTGTGTAATTATTGTCCATGTGAATGTTGATGTGGATCCATAAACAAACAAACACTGGGCACAAGTAAACAATGTTTAAAAAAAAGCTGCCTTCACTATTTATCAACCGAAAAGTCAAAAACCCATCATACATCTGCTTGATCTGGATGTTCCTTGTGAAAAGAAAAAAATTATTATTATTAATAACAACAAATTACTGAAAAACTTTGTGAAACAGAACGAGAACGAGAAAAACAGATCAACAAAAAAGTAGTAGACTGAGAAATATACTGTCTAAAAGAGAGAGAAATTTTCCTTTTTTCTCATCAAGCGATGCTTTTTTCTCGATGATCATAATGCATTCTATATAAAAATCATCATCATTTGGAGCAACAACTTACAAACAACAAAAGTAACATTGAAACACTCATCAAACAAACAAACAAACTTATACACACCCAGTTGGTAAAATGATTTTTATTTTGGATATAAAAAAAATTCTGTGTTTTTTGCTATCAAAAACAGAACACAGGGAGAAAAACATTACATGCATGTAATGTTTTTTTTTTGGGCTGTTTTCGATGGGTTTATCGTTTGTTTTTGTGTTTGTTTGTTTTGTTTTGTTTACTTCGATATGATGATGATATATGATGAGGATATCAACAATACCGATTGGTGATTTTTCTTTCTCTCTATGTCTATTGAGTGTAATGCACGACGACGACAACCACCGAGAAAAGGCAGAAGCAAAGACAAATGCAAAGCATCAAACAAACCATGCCATGGTTGTTGTTTTGGAATAATACTTGAAAAAAATCGTTTTTTTTTTCACTGAGAAAAAAAGAGATGCTTTTTTCCTGAAGAATAATAAATTGTGTGTGATTCATTCGAATGAATGAATGAAAATTGAATGAATTGATGCGGATTTATGAAACAAAATTTTCTCTATATAACCATAGAGAGAGAGAGAGAGATTACTAAACTGTTGATTCCCGAAATAAAAAAAAACTGTGATTGCCAAATTTTATCATTTCATTTTCTATATCATCCAGTATCCAGCATACAAAAACACCGTATATGATACATATTAAAAATGCGTTGGCGTCGTTGTCTTGGCGATGCCAAAAAATCAAATTTGAACACGGTTGGTGTGTGTGTGTGTGTGTGTGTGTAGGTGTGTTTGGCTGGATGATGATAATGATGATGATGGTTTGGTTAAAACAGACATTACAACTTTTTGATGACATCCAAATATCAAACAAACACAAACACAAACACCATTCATTGATAATCGACGACGGATGCTGTTGTTGCCATTAAAGACTTTTATGGTAACTAGTCGAACAAGATTTTTTTTTATAAATCAATTTTCTCTGTTTCGTTTGGAAAGACAAAAAATCTTAAAAATTGCCTTTAAAATATTCAATGAAAAAAGTTTGATTTAATGAATGAATTTTTTTTCTTACGGAAAATCATTTTGAAAAAAGACAAAGAAAAGAGATTTGGATTTTTTTTTATTATAAAAACAAATTATTCTGGTTTTTTTGCATGCAAAAATTATTTAAATAAAGGGCAGAGTTTGAATAATAAGAATTTTTTTTTTTGAAAAATATTTGTTGTCTTTGTGTCACACATGCTTGCTTGCTCGCTATGATTATGGTAGCCCAACAGAATTTTCAGTTTCAAATATCGAGATCACCGGAAATTTGCCAGAAAATTTCCGGAAAATTTTCAAATTTTTTTTTTCTTCAAACAAACAAACAAGAAAATTGAAAAATGAGATAATTTTTTTGTTTTGTTTAGGGAAAATATAAAAAATAAATTCTTGTTTTTTTTTTGTTTGTTTGTCAAATTATAAATCAACAATGACATTAATTATCATCATCATTTTTTTAGATGGAAACATGATTCATATGCAAATCAAAAATCTTTTGTAAATTCAGTAAAATCCGGAAACACTAATCGTTGTGATGATAATGTTTCATAATCGAATGAATTACCAATACCACCACCACTGTTATAAATATTTGGACTAATTGCCGAATTTGTTGTTGTTGTTGTTGCTGATGATATAGATTCATCACCAATAGATGTTGATTGTTGATTTTGTCGTACCATTCTTGTACCAATAGTATTACTTCGATTCGAATATCGTTCATGATTATCCATTTGGCCATGTTGTTGTTGTTGTTGCTGCTGTTGTTGATTTTGTTGTTGTTGTTGTTGATAATGTTCTTGTGCACGTTTACGTACACGTTTTATATTTCGTAATCGTGAAAGCCAATTCGATATATGATATGATCTCATTTCTTGTTTTGGATGATAGACCATTGCGCCCAACTAGAATTTTTTCGTAAATGAAACATAAATTTGATTATTTCGGTAAACAAACAAACAAAACATTTACATTTGCATGAATAGCCAATTGTCGTACATAAACAGGTAATGCATCATCCGATAACACCTGCGATTCAGTGTAACCAATAAATTCGGCAAATTCTATGGAAGAAAACAAAATGAATTATTAAAATAATAACCAGAAAATACATCTTGTGGTTTGATTGATGATCTTTTTTTATACAAACCTTTTCTACTTTTTATTTCGACAATATTACTATCATATTCTAATGGTGTTATTAATACGACAGCCAACATTACCTGTCCAAAACCACTCTGAAATAAGAAAAAAAAATAATGAATTAGATGATAATCCAGTAATTCAGTCTTTTTTTAAAAAAACTTACTTTCAATGAAAAAAGATCAAAATTTTCACCACTATTATTATAAACAATACAAACTAAATCATTACCAATATGTGCCATTTTATTATTACATTTTGGATCATTATCTAATGTAGGCATCATTGTAGCAACATGAAATATCATCTGTACAAGATGATCACACCATGAAATAGCATATGGACCATCTTTAACACCAAGACCACCAACATAAAATACACGTGGATCAATATCTTCCAGCGAAATTAATTGTCCAATATTTTTTAAAAATTTTGCATATCTAAATGATCCAATTCGATTGGCAAGTATATCGGCACGATTATTTGTCTGACCAGGACCAATATAAAGTATACCAATTTTGTGCGTTTCATATGGCGTTATTCGATCGAAAATACTTAACGATATTTTCAATGCATCATTACGTTCAAGTTGAATAGGTTTTTCAAAATCAACATTCGAATTAGGCAGACAGATTTTATCTTTAAACATAGAATTATAATATAATTGTAAAAACACAAATTGTGGTGAAAGACCAGCGGGTGAAAATGGTTGCCGTGAAGATAAATTTATATTCGATGCTGACATTGATGATTCATGATGACCTACACCACTACCAAAAGCCGATGATGAACTGGAACTTTTCTGTACCGGTGTCATCACAGATATTGTATGTCCACGATCACGAAACATTGTTGAAGGTTGAAAATTTTTTGATGATTCATTATCACCACTACCACTGGATGATACAAGACTTGTTTGTGAACCATTCGGTGTATTTTCTTCGAATGAAAAATCTTTTTCAAGCTTACGAACATGATGATGATTACGATATTTTCCGGTTTCCATATCATTATTATTACGTGTTTGTGGAACATCAAAAAATTTGGTTATATTATGAGTTTGTAATGTACGACTACCACCAAACGATGCAGCACGACTAACTGGTTGAGAAATTTTGGCTTTTTCCTGCGGTTGTTTTTGTTGATCATTTAAACTAGAAATAGTCCCTGAGTTGGATTTGGCATCATCATCATCATCATTTTGATTAGAATCCTGTTTTGAGATCTCATTATTATCATTATTCGAATTGGATACAATATTTAAATCTGGAAATGAATTTTCAAATATTTGAGCTAATGAATCATCTTCATGTTTTGATGATATCCAATTTGGAAATTCACCCAAATTATTTTCAACACGTAGTATAAATCTTGTTGTACCGGTTGAACGACGAATTAATATTTCAGCCCATGTTTGGCACCAACAACGGCAGTATCTACTAACAACATTTGAATCCGATTCAATTGATGATGATGATCCTTGAATCATATTCTGTTGTTGTTGTTGTTGTTGTTGATTAATAAAATAATCATCATTATTATAATTTGAACTTTTCGTTGTTGTACTATGATTAATTTCCGAACGATGTCGACGTCTAATTGCAATATCTTGTTGTTGTTGTTGTGTTGTTAATGATTGATCAAAATTATTCGCAATAATTGATTGATTCAAATCATTGTTTACATTGTTAAATTTTTCATTCCAATTATTCATTAAATTATTTAATGAATTATTTATTGTTGTTGATTTTGGTGATCGATTCATATGACATATTAAATGACATTTATTACAAAGACCATTTCTCATTGCTCTTGATGTACAACCAGTTGTTGTTATTTGTATTATTTTATGTCCTATATATAAAATGTTTGAATTAAAAGAGAATTTAAATAATAAATATTCATAATGATGATAATAATAGATATTTACCAATCATCCAATATTGTGTTTTATCTTTATTCAATAATTTATCAATCATTGATGGTTTTAATGGAAGCGGTGATGATGTTGTAAATGCATTCGATGCTAACATATCCATACAAACTTCAACTAATTCAAATTTTGATTTTTCCTTATCATTCGGATCAAATATAACACTATCATTACCAAGCTGTTGACCATGGCCAACCATATTGAATGCCGATGATGATGAAAAATTAAATGATTGTTGTTGTGTATGATGATCATTTGTTTGATTACCACTTAAACTATTAAAAGATTGAAATGAAAATGTATTAAGTGTTAATGGTGTTGAAGGAGGTGGTGGTGGACTTGAAGCCAATAAAAAACGATTACTACTATACGATAAAGGGGTTAAAACAAATAAACGAAACAAAAACAAAAAACAAAAAACAAAACCAAAAAAAAAACATAAAATAACAAACAAAAAACAGACAACAAAAAATGAATGGATCACAAACATAAATTGAATGTGGAAAATAAAACAAAGGGTTAACAAAAACAAAAATCTCTTACTTGGATTTTGTTGAATCGGTTGTTAATTTTTGTGCCATTAATAATGCTAATTGATTTGATTCATTATCTTTTAGTATATTATATTGAAAACCTTTCATCAATAAATGTACCAAATCCATACGACATGGTATTGGACATTTAAGAAACCACATTGATATAACACGTAATGCTAATGCAACAGTATATTCACCATATTTACATGGATTTATATATGATTGTGCAATCATAAATATTGATAAATATTGTTTATTTGTAAATGTATAATATATATCCGGAAATACAATTATATCTAGAAATAATAATAATTTAAAAATTATTAAACAAGGATTTTGAAAATAATAAAACAAATATAAAATACATACTGGATAAAAATTCCAATTTCGGTATGGCCAATGCTTTTGTTGTTGTAATTTTACTTAATTGCATAATAGTATCGGATAGATAACGATTCATTGTTGTTTGCATTTCAATCGAACAAATTGTTAATGATACAATACATTGTCGAAGACAGGACATTTTTGATGAAAAATGTATCAAACCATTTAGTAGATATTTTACAATCGAATTCTGATTATTTGAATAAAAAGTATTTTTGTTTCATTTTGTTTTGTTCAATTTTACAAATCATCATACCTGTGATGTGGACAGTAGTTTATAGCCAACCAAGGCTGAAATTGAATTATAGATATGGACAAGTATATCTACTTTGCTCATTTTTGCTTCACCCAAATGTAATTCATTGAAACGATTCAATACAAAATCAATCTAAATTCAAAAAGAAAGAAAGAGATAAAACTTAGCTTAGAATATTGTTCACAAAAATAAAATAAAAATCACTTACAAATGTACAAAGAGCATTAACCATTAGATCAGGAATTGATTCCGTTTTGATAGATAAATGTGTCATCGATGATGATGGTGTTGAATGATTGGATGAATTTGTCGATGCATTAGCAGCCAATATTAAACCTTTATGTTTTAATGTTTTTGGAAGCTCAATAAATATTAAATGTAAAACTGACCAATCTTTTTCACATTGTATTGTTTCGATAATCAATTTAAGAGCATCGATGAATGCACCATGAAATAATAATGTTGTCGATGATGTTGTTGTTGTTGTTGTTGATGAAGATGATAATGGTGATGAGGTATTTATAATGGGACTATTTGAATTTGTTTCATTAACAACTGTCGATGTTTGTTGACGTTGTGGACTGATTGGTGGACTTGATTGTTGATTTGAAACAATCATTATTTCACGAATCAATATGTATGGAGAAAAACGAATCGATTCTAAATCTTGATTGGACGTATCATGATTATGATAATGATGATGATTGGTGGTGGTGGTGGAAATATTATCAATCACCACTCCTAATTGTGCCCATCGATTTGTACGTAATGATAATATTGTATGAAAGATTTTTCGTTTTATTAATGATAATGTACGATTATATAATGATGATGATGATGATAATGAATCCATTTCACCCGAAAATGAATGTAAATAATGTAATTTTTGAACAAAAGCTAAAATTTTGATCAATGAACGAAATGATTGTATAGCAGCCATATGACATTGTATATGATTAATATTTTCAATAAATATTATTATTAAACCATCAACCGAACGAATAGCATCATCAAATATATTATTAATTTCATTTACATTATTTGGTGCCGACAATTGATGTGTTATTATTGGTCCAATATTATTTTGTGAACGATGATTCAATGAAACTGTTTCAATTGAATGTTGACGATATAAACGAAATCGATTATGAATAGTATGTTCAAATATTTCAATAAATTCCATTAAATTTTTATTTGATTGTAATTTTCTAGCCAAAAATATTAGAAAATTTATGGCCAATTCACGTAATGATTGTCGATTATTATCATCATTGGAAATGGAGAAAAAATTCGAAGCGACATTTTCCCAAAAAACCTAATTGTTAAAAGAAAAATGATAAAATTTTGAAAAAAATTTCCAAATAATAATTACATCAGCATCTAAAAATGTCGAAACATTTAAAAAATTTTCCAATTTTTCCAAACATTTCAAACGAATTGAATTATTTTTCGGTGATATAAAATATATGTTAATAACATGTTTTAATTGTTTTAATTTATATTCCAAATCGAAACGATATTTATCAATATGATTTATATGTTTCAAACGATGTTCAATCAGATTGTAAATAGTTTCATTCTGTAAATTTACAACAACAACAGAAAAAAATTAACAAAAAAATTGACCGAACGAAAAATAATAATAATTACCGTAAGATGATCACTAGCCATTTCAAAAATGGTAAAAATTTTTTCAATATAATATTCATTATTTGATAAAAATCTTAATGAATATTCCATATTATCATCACCATTGTTATCATCAACAACAATATCTTCAACATTATCATCATCATCATCAAAATAATGTTCATCAATAGTAATAATATTGAAAAAAACAACCTGTTCCAATAATTTTAATATTGAAAGTATTGTTGATTTCAATTGAATTGTTGTATCATTTTGTATTAATAATAGATAATTATTAACAAGCATATCACAAACATCCAATACAAGATCCCATGTATATTGATAGATAATATTCGAACTTTTTAATGAATTTATTGATTCATTCGATGATCGTTGATTATTTTCCAATATAGTTGATGATGATGATGATGATTTTTGATTAATCGAATCAATAATAAACATTTGTATACCATTTGCAATTTCCAATGCAATTAAAGGACTAGAAGCCATATCATTATTTAATAAAATTTTAAATGATGGTAATATAACATTTGCACTAATTGTTGTTTTTTGTTTATCATTTTGATTAATCATCATATTACCCCATAATGATTGTACAAGAAAATAAACAGCACCACGTATTAATAATTTATCTTTAAAATTAATTTCATCTTCAATAATATGATGTAATGTTGTTAATGCATCATAACCAAGATATGTTCCAATTAAATTACGCATAATTTTTTGACAAATTATATATAATTCATCACGATTAAGACCAATACATAATATAACTATAAATTGACTTAATGTTTCTGTTGGTAAATGTGAATAGCTTAATACAACATTTAAAAATTCATAAATCAATTCTAATTCCATAATTGATTTGGATTGATATGCTAATGAACAAACATAACGTATCATTTTTATCAATGCTTTTGAATTATCCGATGCAACATATGTAGCATTATATTTAATTAAATTGATCATAAATTTTAAAAATTTTTGCTGCATTAATGTTTCATATTTATTTAATTTTAATTGACCATCACCACCACCACCAACATTTGTTGTTGATTCAAACAAACGATCAATAAGATTGATAATAAAATATGCAATTTTCGATTCATAATTTAACAATATTTTTCCATAATCAGTCAACACTATGTAAAACAGCCAAAAGAAAAAAATGTTATTAAAAACTTTTTGTTTTTCCTCATTAAAAAAAAAACAAACTTACCGACAAGAAAATCAATTATATCAGGAATGTCATCATAATCATCATCATTATCATCATTATTATCCAAATTCAATATTGTATTGAATAAATAATAACGTAACATACCAATCGTTTCAGCTTGTCCATTTAATAATTTACAATATGAACGCCAAATACGATGTCTACATTCATTTGGTATTGATGATGATTTATCCAATAATAAATCAATTGTATTTTCAAATATAAAACTTAAATATTTTTCATGTTCAATTTGATTTTTTGGATATTTTCCATAATTTAATTGTATTAATTCTTCAAGATTTTTACAACGATTTTCCCACGTACCATTACGTAAAATCATTATATTTGATTGATCATTCATGATTGTTTCGTTGTTGTTTAACAATCGAGGGATTTGAATGTAAAAAAAACTTTTTTTTACTTTACTTAAATCGGAATTTCAGTCAATTTTGTTGTTGCTTTTGTAGAATGGTTGAATTGAAATGATGAATATTCATCATCAATGTCCATCATTTTTTTTCTTCAAGAATTTCAAAGAATAAATATCACAATCAAACTGGGAAAAAAAGTTGTGCAGCAATACAGTTCAAACTAAAAAAACACACCAAACAACATTCAAAAATCAATGTGCAAAACAAAACAAAAAAAATGAAAAATCAACAGCAAAAGTCATTTTAACATCATCATCATCATTTTTGTTTCTCTGAATGAATGTGATACGTTTTCAAAAAAATTTTCTTCATTTTTCTTTTTTTGGTGATGAAAGGATTTTTTTTCTGATTTGTTTGGCTACAACGGTGTTGATAAGATAAGGGTAACAAACATATTTTTTTGGTGATTTGTCGAATGATGATAATGATGGACTTTGATGATTATTGATTCGATGACCATCAAGGAATAAATTCCAAAATGTTGATGATCGTTGAAGCAAACAAAACAACAAAACAACAACAATTATTGTGTGCTTGGTTATTTCTGTGTGTTGTGATGGCAGCAGCAAAAAAAAAAAAAAATTATTTTATCAAAATCAAACAGACGACACTGATATCTGATGTTGGTTGATTGATGGATGATAATGATAAACGACGACGACGATGACGACTATCTAACTTCTATCTATATGGTGTTTTTTTACAAAAAGTAAAAAATCATCATCATGATCAGAATGAAGATCTTCATGTGGATCGAACAATTAGATAAAAGCAGACATTCGAATCTTTTCGGGTTTCACTTGATCGATATAATCATGTTTGGTTGTCGAGAATTTTATTGTTTCTGTTTTTTATCTTGACAAAAACAAAAAAACAATGAATGAATCAAAATCAGGATGATGACATTTTCATTGGAATTTTTTCTTTTGTGTGTGTGTTTAAAAAAAAAAAATTATGATGAATTGGCGTGTGGTATGGTGTATTCTTTTTGTTTCAAATGAATCGAAGAAAATGATGATGGTTAAATTCAATGCTGTCAATCATCATCAGTTATCATCAAACACAAAGATCATTCGATTCTTTGATCGATCGATCGCAATGTTCTTTGTTCTTGCTCTTTGTTGCTGTTGTTCGTTGTTGACGTTTTTTTCTTGATTTTTCATTAAAACAAAAAACTTTCACTCGATTTTTGGATTTCTTATTTTTGGGGGAATCTCTTTTCTTTTCTAATCACATAATGAAACAAACAAACAAACAAACAAAAAAGCTATTCGTTGTTGTTGTTGTTGTTATTTTCAAGCTCTCTTCCTCATTTCAATTCAAGTATTCATTTTTTTTTTGTGAGTTTTTTTTCTTTTCGTTTTTGATGGTTGGCTACAGCTGTTGGTTGGTTGGTTGGTTGTTGATGATGATGATAGCGGTGGAGCTAGTGTGTCGAGTTTTTTTTTTTTTTTGATTGGTTGCTATCGGTCGTCACAGCCGACGCCGTATGTAACCAAACCTTAAACACGGAATAGAAAATGGATTAAATTTGAAAAAAAATTAATTCCAAAATGTCAGAAACACAATCAAACATGGATTTAACATTGGAAAATTATTAAATGGAAAAGAAAAGAAATCAAACACAAAACATTTGATATGATAAACACACATGCTCTTTGGTGGCAGCACTTGACGATTTAAATGGATCGAAAACTATATCTACAGTCATAAGGTCAAATTGTTGAAATAAAAAAAATTTTTGAAAATTTTTTTTGGCGCGCTTGCAAAATTCTCATCAAAATTATCTTTCTTGGTTCAAATCTTGGAATCCAATCAAAAAAAGATTAAAAATTCAAACAGAAAAAATGTTTTCTTTTCATTTTGATTGTCGAGTATCAGATGACGCCACCACCACCTGTGTTTTTTTTCAATTAAGAAAATTTGAAATTTTTAAAAGATTTTTCAGCAAAAAAACATTCCATCCACATCAATATCATTGTGGGTCAATCAATCAATGAGAAGAAATATCATTGATTTTTCCATCTCAATCTCATATCATATCATTCATATTTGGGATTTGTCAATCAAATCAATCAGCGATTCAAATATGAAAGGAAAAAAAAGGATTTTTTTTTTGTCAGTGAAAAAATCATGAAAATCAACGATTATCGTCGTTTTCCAATATATGTTTTCATCGTAAAAATTTTCCAATTCCAAAACAAAACAATAAAATAAATATGGTATTTAAAAAAAAACCAAATGAAAAAATGTCTTTTTTTTACATTTGAAAATTTACATCGATTCAAACAACAACAAAACAGGTAAAGATGTTTATCTCTTTCTCTCTCTCTCTCTCTCTCTCTCTCTCTCTCTCTCTCTTTCACTTACCTGTCTATTTTTTCGTATTGCAATGCAATGCAACGAAAATCTCTCACAATTTTCTTTTTTTNTTTTTTTTACATTTGAAAATTTACATCGATTCAAACAACAACAAAACAGGTAAAGATGTTTATCTCTTTCTCTCTCTCTCTCTCTCTCTCTCTCTCTCTCTCTCTCTCTCTTTCACTTACCTGTCTATTTTTTCGTATTGCAATGCAATGCAACGAAAATCTCTCACAATTTTCTTTTCTCCATGACATTTGAAATTGTGAATAAATTATTCACAATTTTTTAAGATTTTTTTCATTCTCTTTTCAAAAACGTTATTTCTTCTCTCTCTCTCTCCAATTTCACATTCATTTGTTCCTTTATTTCCTTTTCTTCAATCATTCATTTTCTTTCGTTTTTCAAATGATGGCCAAATATTTATTTTTTTTGTAGTTGCACAAACAAACATTCCAAACATTTTTTCCAATGGTGTTTACCTGATGATGATGGTGAACATTTTTTTTTACTTTTACTTACTGATGTCTTACGTGTTTGTATTTGCCCGAGAGGAAAACTGTAAAAAAAACTGTAAATAAATAAACATCAAGATAATTTTTCTGTTTTGGTTTTTGTGTTTGTTTCAGGCATCCAATTGGTGTTTTTATATTTTATTAGTTTTTTCCTTGTTATTATTATTTCCATTTAGCAACGGATTTTTGTGTTTTTTTTTTTGGAGAGAGAAAGTGGAAAAAAAGGTCGTGGAATATGAAGTGAGAAAGTGAAGTTTTTCATTGCGATTTTTTGCTGTTGTGTGATTTAATGAAAATGTTTCGTTTTTCGGTTTAATCAAGGTTTGTTCATTACTTTGATTGATTTGATTTGATTTTTTGGTGAATAAAAATTTTCTCTAATCGTTTTGTGTTTTTGTCACAAAAAAAAATTGCGTGCAATAAGAAAGGAATTTCTTCGTTTCAAGGTAAAACTTTTGTTGTTTTTCATTTGTTTTCTTCACATTCGAATAATGATTCTCATCAATTCAATTCATTTCAATATTTTTTCTTTCGTCTTTTCTTCACCGAAATAAATTTGTTGTTTTTTTTCAAATCAAATGTGAATGAATGAATTAAGTTGTTGTTCGCAAATCAAAATTTCACCTTTATTCTCTGTGAACAAACATTTTTTAAAAAAAAGCAAGCCAACAAGCCAAACAAACAAAACGATGACACACCTGAAAAGAATTTAATAATGTTATGTGTGTGTGTTGGTGTGGTTTGTCTATTTAAATGGAAAAATCTCGTTAAATTTTACCACCTTTTATCATTTTACCACTTTTTATCACAGGTAAAAAATATTCAATGATGAATAATCATCATTGGTTTTAGTGAAATGAAAAATTCATATTCTTTTTTATTCAAATTCAATTTTAGCAGTAGTGGTAGTGAGGATAGGATGATATATCCATGGTTGCTATGGAATTTTTGTTTTCATATTTTTCATATTTTTCAGTTTTTTTTTCAACAACAACCAAATCATGTTTATCTCAATCGACATTGTATAATCGAGGAGAAAAAAAAACTGTTTCGATCAGTGAACCATAAACATTTCATTCATTCCGTTCATTCATAAACAGAAACAAACACTGGGCTCAGGTTGTTGGCCCTATTTCTCTCAATCCTGAAAACAAAATTTTTTTCAATGTCTTTTCTGTTTCGGTTGAAAGCTAGAATTGATTTTTTTTTTTGATTTTGTTTGTTTGGTTGAGTGAGTGAGTGAAAAAACTCTAAACCGAAAAATTCATCGATCCAAGAAACCGAAAAAAATGCATTTTTTTCAATGAAAAATAAAGTTCGTAAAGACAACCAAACAAGCAAACAAACAATTTTCTTTCGGTTTGCCAAAATGAATCATCCTGAAATGAATAGTGAAATGACGCCACAATACTACCACATTCCTACCTGTTTTTTTCATTCTTTTCATTCATTCATTCAATCCATCCATCTTGATTGCTACTCCCTGTTTTCATCATCATCATCCGTGTAAATTGATGGTAATGTTTCTCTCTCTCTCTCTCTCTTGGATTTTAGGATATGATAAAAGTTTGTGTGTGCGGTGCTGTGTGTGGATGCATTCGATTGCAACCAAAAAAGAAAGAAAAATCATTGATGCTTGTTTGTTATAAACGAAACATAAAACATGCAGGCAGGCAGGCAGACAGACAGTCAGGTATATCCTGTATTCGTTTCTTCTTCTTCTTCATATTTAACCTGTAGTTATACTATTAGTCGATAAATATACGCATCGAAAAAAAAAATGGAATGTATCATTTTTTTTTCAGCAAAACCTGATAGTTTGGATGATGCTAGATGCATCATTTGTTGATGAATGAATGTTTTCATGTGATGAATATTTTCATAAAACAACGTAACATAACATAACGAGAAAACATTTAGTGTATTACATCAGCTCATCATTATCATCATTTTGATTATGATTTAATGTTTGCTTGTTTGTTTGTTTGTTTGGTTTTAAAAGTTTTTTTTTCATTAAAGTTTTTCTTCTTTTTCATTTTTATTTTCAAAAAAAAAAATTTCAGCAAAATTTTCAGCAAATATTTTGTTTCAGCAACATGGAAGAAAATGAAATCAATCTTTGAAGCAATCTTCTAAATCCTGATTATCTTCGTAATCATTATCGTCATCAAACGGAACATCGAAAAAAATCATCGATCGAAACATCGAAACATCGAAACAAACAAAAAATGGATAAAAATAGTTCATTAAAATGTTTAAAATTTTCATTAATAGCCGGAAATTCGGCTGTAATTGCAATTGGTTTAGCTGGTTTTCTAACTGGTTTAATACAACCAAATTCAATGCAACATTTAACTGTTTCTGGTTCACAATTAACATTAATCAGTTTATTAATGGTATTTATTGGTATTATCGGTTTGATTGGTTCATTACGTGAACATTTTTGCCTGTTATTAACATATGGATTATGTTTGTTTATTGTGTTCATATTTCGTTTGATTTGGTCATTAACAACACCATTACATCAAAGTGGTCGTTTTTTAATGGATACAACAGCCAGTCTAACAATATTATCTAGTCTTTTGAAAATATTTTTAATGATTTTTGCTATTTTATTGGCATTGGCAACACAAAATTCTCTTCCATTAACAAAAGAAAAATTTTATTATCTTAAAAATAAATTTAAATTTAAAAAACCAAAATCCAAATTATCAAAACATCAAATTGATTCTGATTATCATCAACGAAAACAACCAAAGAAATCTTCTTCTTCATCATCTTCTACGGTGAAATCCAAAAACCATCAGCAACAATTATCAGCATCAAAATTATTAAGACAATTTCAAGATTCGAATGCAATCTACAGTAATAATGGTTCATTGATGAGCCATAATAATAATATCTATGAAAGTGGTAGACGACGAAGTCCATCGAATCGTTTAATAATGAATGGTCATCCTCATCATCGATCATCATCATCACGATCAAGACAACAACAACAACAACAATCATCTGGTTATTCGGGTGTTGGTTATAGTGGTCCAACGACTATAACAACCGAAACCGGAGCAATTGGAACCGGATCAGTAGCAATAGCTATCGATGGTAGCAATAGTGGACAATCATCATCAGCAAGTCAAGATAGTAATAATAATATTAAACATTCGAATCAAATATTGGATGAAAAATTAAAAATTGATTCATCAATGTTATTACATAATCATCATCATCATCATCCTCATCATTATCATCAACAACAACAACAACAACAACATTATGGTCAAAAAAATCAAAGCCATTCTTTGCCACGTGATCAACGAAGTGGTGGTGGTCATCGTGAACGACCAAAAACATTATCCAATGATTATATTCATTATCGTTCACCATCACCTCCGCCAAGATCACCAAGATCACCACCACCACCACTACCTAGATCAACAAGATCACCAATACCATTACCTAGATCGCCACCACCATTTCAACAACGATCATCGTCGACAAGAAAAACAGAAGATCCAATTCGTCAACAAAAATCAAATAAATTTACAAATCAACCATTTTATAATCCATATCGTTCATTACCAAAAAGTACGACGAAAACATCGTCGACAACGATGACGGCGAATAAAATTCCCGAATCTAATAAATCCAAACCAACATCATCATCGACACAATTACGACCAACAACATTACCACGAAGTGTATTATATTCAATGACAACAACAACCGCAACAACGTCAACAACAACAACAACGACACAGCCAAATTATCGATCCTATCTTACCTCATCATCACGGTTAACATCATCAAATGAAAAACAACAACAACAACAACAATCATATCCGATGACAACAACAACAACAATAATGACAAGTCCAACAATAACATCACGATTATATTCATCATCACCAAGTATTGTACCACCGATAACAATGATATCGACAAATATTCAAATGATCGATGATGATCCGATAACGACATCAACTTCGTCGACAACGATGACATTGTCGACGACAAAAACGAATGATATGAATTTAAAAACAAAACCATCATCATCATCATCATCATATCGTTTTGGTAGATTATTTGGATCATCACCATCATATTATCCATCAAAAAATGTTGAAAACATTTCATCAACAACAACAACAACAACAAATCTAAGTCAAACAAGAAATTTATTCTCAACTTATACATCACCATATACAAGTCATTTGTCAACAACACCATCATCATTATCATCATCAACATCGAATGTGTTGAATGAACAACGAAGACCAATAAGTCCAACATATCCATCGATGATTAAATCACCAACACCATCACCTACAAATGATTTGATGAGAAAACAAAAAGATTATCATCATGATACATTTCATCAATGGTCATCGACATTATCATCACGAACACCAACACCGCCAACAACGATAATCAATAATAATGGTGAAACAAATCAATTTCTTCCATCGTCAACATTGATGACGACGACGTCGACGACAACAACAACAACTAAAAGTGGACCATCATCAACATCTGTAAATCTTTTTGCTAGAGTTTATCCAAAAACATATGAAGAATATGTAAAATCTTATCGTTATCCTGAATCATGGAAACAACAACAACAACAACCAAAAGAGTTACAATCAACAATAAGTGATACAATGATTGCAATTGATCAAACTAGCACAACAAAAACCTCATCAACAACATTACCACGAAATGAAAATATATTTGTCGTGACTGGTTATAATCGTACGAATAAAAATTTAACAGATGCAAATAATCCGAAAAAAACAACAACAATGAAAACATTAACAACTACACAACAACAACAACAACAAAATGATGAACGACAACAAAAACGTATGATATTCTATAAACAACAAACATTATTTCAATAATATCATAATCCATACGACATTGGTGACATTATCATTAATATTTTTTTCGACAAATATAGCCAAACCTTGTAAATGATGTTATTTTTTTTCTTCAGTTTGTCTGCTTGTCATGTATAATAAATGTTTTATGTCACACGCACATATCGATTGATTGATTGAAAATTTTCTTCTTCATCGAATCGATTCTTCAAGTTTGGTTGATGTAATGGTGGAAAACCAAAAATCTTCTCTTCATCATCATTATTATCAATTAATTATGATTAATACAATGGCTACAATACAATCAAACATTTCAAAGAAAGAAAGAAAAGAAAGAAAGAATTATTATTTCTGTTTGTTTCAATCCTTTTTTTTTTGATTAATTACTTACCTAATATAAAACAGAGAAAGAAATTGACAGAAAAATATCTTCTTCATTTTTTTGATTGAAGGCCGAATCATCATCATTCGAAAGAAGAAAAAAAAACAATCGATCGATCATCCATCGACTGAATAATGAAGAATTGTCAGAAAAATTACATAAAATACACACACACACACAATGCACAATGGATATTTAAAGATTGTAAAAAAAAAACATTTTTAACTTTTTTTTTTCATTCATTTTTTTCTTGTTATTTTTTTTTTTTTTTTGTTTTTTTTTTATTTTTTAAAT